GCACCACGAGTAAGAGTCGGCGACGTCACTCCGCAGGCTAGTGGTCGAGCGCCACAGTCGTCGCTGGCCGCGATGGAACGTGTACATTCTCCGCGTGCGCGCAAGGGAGAGAGACGCTGGTCCGGCGCCGCAGCCGATCGCGGGCCGCACACACCCACCACGGCACAGGCGCCACTCGGTGGCCGTCTCAAGGGCGCCGAGAAGTCGAGAGCGACCACCGCCGCCACCGGCAACGGACGCCGGTCCGGCGACGCCCGCGCGCTCACTCCGAACACTCCGCTGCCGGCGGCGGGCGCCCCGACCTCCCAGCGACGTCGCTCCGCAGAGTGACGCGCCGCGCCGCCGCGGCCGGCACAGGTGTTCGACATAACCTGCCTAGTGGCTGGGCGTGGCGGCGGCGGCGGCCCGTCGTGACCGGACCCGGGTCAGCGGCGGCGCGACCCACATCTCGACCGCCGATTGGCGCGGCTGGGCTGGCGGCCGGCGCTCGCCCGGCGCTCGCCCGGCCGGCGGGGCGGGCGACCTTGACCGCCACGACACAGGTGTCCGTCCGCTGTCAGTGCGTGCGATCGCACTCGACACGACGCCGCGCGCCCCTTCGACTCGGCGGCGCAGGCTTCCGCTCCGTACGAGCCCAGGTGCGTGAGGAACGCGCGGTGGGAGCCACACGCGCGCGGCGGGTCGCCGTCATGCCGACCGATAATACCGCCTTGGGCGGGGCCGCGGGGCGTGCTCTGACGTCACAAGGCGACAGGCCACACCTGGACGTGTCAATCAGCACGAATGGGGTCACACCGTGCATCATTGGAAATATACCGTACTTGCAGAGGAATGACAGATGTCCGAAACCGGATATTAGCATCACACGCTCTTTTTACTAGGCTTTCTGAATGACTGGGCGCTCTCACCAGCAAGGCCACGGAGTGCGAGTCAAGACCCCAGCACTCACAAAAAGGCAGGGTTATTGCTGAATGTGCTTTCAGAAGGACTTAAGGCCATCTAACAACTAAGGTCACAAGGAGGCGTCAACGTCGCTCAATATTCCAAACAAAGTGGCATTGCGTGATTTTCTTCACATCTAGTTATATAGCATGCGCCTTTATGCCGTGACAGGCGTCTGGTGTTCTTTGTTGGAGCTACGGAAAGCGTCAATAAACCTTGAAATACTTGGTGGGGGCATAACCATTCCCCAATGACGACCCCGCGCGTAGTCTTGCTCAATGCCAAGCATCGGTCGCGCATACCAAAACCCCAAGCTTCGAATCGAATCGAATCTGTTTTTGAGCTTGGGTACTTAGATCGTAAGGTAAGAGTTTTGAATGCGACGTGATTAATCTACCTCTTTTATCACCGTTTCGCCCGGTTTCTCTTCGGATTACGCCGGAGATTGTGGGAGCAGACGGTCGAAATGACAACAATCGTCGGTCGGCCATTGCGTCACTGGTTCACACGGCGCTGCCTGCTTTCGCACAATCGCCTGCACCGCACACAAGCGAACCGTGGAGAAGGAACGGGCACACCGAAGCGGCGGGCCACGCCTCCGCCGTCGTTTCGACCACCGCCGCGATTCGTGATATCGCCATTTATTTTATTTGCGAGGCAGCTCTCACGGGAGGACAGCGCAGATGCGCTTATAAAAGGCAGGAGCCGAGAACATAAGCCACTGGTCGGCGCACTGGTCAACCAAGTTCAAAAAGGTCCCGAGGAAGTGCAACGAAAGTTCCAGCGATACCACCCGGGTTACGTAGGGAAGATGCGGTCGATTATCCGCGAACACGACCCAGCGGGTCAGGAGTTTGTAACGTAACAGACAGAATACACTCAAAATACAGCAGGCACGTCCCATCCATGCCTCGGTGTTTCAAGGATTTCAGCGTACCGTGAAGCAAAGGAACTGAAGTGACCACCACTTACTAACGTCTCGCGGAACTTTTTTACCGCAATCTCGGCATATTCGTGAATGTCGGGCAGTCAGCTGTTAGAGACACCTGATTCTGTTCTTCTTGGCGGTTCAAGGTCAGCGCGTCTGCCGTCCGCACCTGTCTCCAATCAGCCTTATATCAGGTATGAAATAACAGGCCGACTGCCTCCGCCCGTCGCGGCGTGATCTGGATTCCATTAGGCGTCACGGGCCGTGACTATTTGGACCGCCGTGACAGCGTTACGCCCCGAGCTGCGCGGTGGGGTGTCTTTATCTCGCACGGCGCACACGTGGCCGACAGCTGGGTGTGACGGCCGACGGGATGGTCCGGGAGACCATGACTAGTCTGATTAGTCTAGATAGGGTCATGTCTGGATAGTTTCCCGATCCTGATTCCGGTCCCGATCCCGGTCCCGGTCCCGGTCCCGGTCCCGGTCCCGGTTCCGGTTCCGGTCCCGGTCCCGGTCCCGGTCCCGGTCCCGATCCCGGTCCCGATCCCGATCCCAATCCCGATCCCGATCCCGATCCCGATCCCGATCCCGATCCCGATCCCGATCCCGATCCCGATCTCGATCCCGGTCCCCGTCCAGGTCCCGATCTCGGTCTCCGTCCTGTCCTGTCCCGCATACCTCTCCCCACGCCCTCCTCCCAGCGCCAGCCTCCCACGCGCATGGCGTCGACGACGCGCGACGTGCATGGAGCGCCTCACAGCGCGCGGGCACGCACGGGGCCGGTGCATCCCGTTACGGCGCGGTGGCAGGTGCGTACCGTGGCGTCCCGCGCCCCGTATGTATGTCAGCCCGGCAACCAGACGACACCGCTCCGTCATGGCTCGCGCGCGTGTGGGCCGAGTGGATTGCTCGTCGCGGGTGCTCCGCACGCTTCACCCGCTCTCCGGAGGTCATCAGTCCTGCGCCACCGACGCCGCTCGCGGGCGGGTCTCGAGTGTACTCCGCGCGCTCTCAGCCCGACTCGACGGATACGTGAGGGCGGCGGCTGAGCTAGGCCCGATGGCTTATACAGTGGGTGAGCAAACACCGGCGAGATAAAGGCAAATACAGGCAAATGCAGGCGAGGGCAGAACGCCCAGTCCCTATATTTAAAAAACATAGGTAACTCAGCGCAAATAAGACGTAGACTGGCGATCGAGTATTTATTACTTCTACCAGCTGTACCTCTACCAAATCTCCTTGTTGACATTACGCACGTCTTGCTGCCGGCGCTGTTGGTGTGGGGCGTCGCTGCCTTCTCTGTCTCTGTCGCTGTCTGATACCCTGCACATGCCCGCCGACCCCACGCGCAATGAACAGCACCTGTGTCGTGTCCCAGTCGGGATCCCAGCCCAATCCCGGTCCCGGGAGGGGGAGAGGGGAGGGGGAGTGAGCCGCACCGGAAGGACGAAGCTGTCGGGCCACACCCTCCTCGCGCCGGTGTCGGAACGGGGTGCATATGATCCATCGTGCTGGACCGCGGCTACTCCTGCCCGTGGAGCCGGGACCTGACGAACTAATGACAGAGTAGCGTGCCCCACGTGTCGTAACCCATCCCGCCCGGACCCTCGAGCCACGAGTCAAAGTCAAGCCGGGCGTCAGGCGGTGTTGTCAGAGGCTCGCCTGACGTCATCCTCTCCAGCAACCGGACTCAGGATCACCGAGTCATGACTAGCGGTACAGCTGGATAGCTCAGGCTCCGAGACGAGATGTACGAGTGTGATACTTGAGCTCTCCGGGTCCACAAGCGACTCGGCCATGATTTCTAACTCAGCTTTTGACGGCACTACGCGCACCACTCGCATACCCACAGCGCCTATGACAGGGACCCCATAAAACCGCCCAACGAATCGTGTCGTATTGGCGTGTGACTGATCACCCCGTCACGTGTGACCGTCACCCCGTTCCGCGTGGCGGCAGAGGCGTCACGGCTGCCGCCCCGTGTCGGCCGCCAGTGACCGGCGCTCCCCGTCGGCCGGCGGGCGGCGGGCGGCCGGGCATTCAGCTAGCCGTTACTGCCCCTCCCTCCCCGCCCCTCCCCCCCCCCCATCGGCCGCCGCGGGACAGCCAGTCGGCCGGATCCGGGGGAAGTAACGGGAGACAGCCGGGTGCCCGACAGACGCAGCTCGAGCCGCACGGCCCGTAGCTCGGGACCAGAGGCGCACCACGGACGTTTGTTAGAGGGGGCGGCGAGGGGGGGGGGCTGGACTCCACGAAATTTTCCCAAACGCAGCAGTTGAACGGTAGCTGGAAAGCTGAAAGGCTTGCCATTTTTGTGCATCCTTACTCACGCACTCTGCTCTCTAAACACTGAAAGGGTAGGATGAAATAGCACAAGAAGCGCTCGATGCTCTCTAAACACGGAAAGGGTAGGATAAAAAAGCACAGCAAGCGCTCGATCCAGCGTAAGTTGTGTCCATACCTGACACAAGACGAACAAACTCAACGACATCAATTGCTGGAGACGTTGGCATACCAATCAAACTCAGTGACAACCTGCTAGGAACAGCCGCGAAGCGCGCGACAGGTCCGGCTACCGCGACATTCAGAAGCTAGCGTCAGGTCAGGAGCTCCACTGACTTCCCGCGTGTGACATCGCCATTCAGACGAGGGGTATAACAGTCACGTGACCAAATCAGGTCACGGCCTCACCTGTTACACAAAAACACGCCACCCATTAAACTAGTCATCGCACCATGGAGTAAATACGCCGTGATTCCTCTATTTCGACAGCCCGTCACGTCACGTCACGTCACGTCACGTCACGTCACGTCACGTCACGTCACGTCACGTCACGTCACGTCACGTCACGTCACATCACGCCATGCCACGCCACGTCACGTCACGGCACGGCACGGCACGGCACGGCACGGCACGCCACGTCACGTCACGCCACGCCACGCCACGCCACGCCACGCCACGTCACGTCACGTCACGTCACGTCACGTCACGCCACGGCACGGCACGGCACGGCACGGCACGACACGACACGACACGACACGTCACGTCACGTCACGTCACGTCACGTCACGTCACGTCACGTCACGGCACGGCACGGCACGTCACGTCACGTCACGACCGCAACTCACCATGGTCTGGTCGCTCCAGAAGCCCTCCTCTATACCGGTCAGGCGGTATATCTCCTCTCCCAGGTAGCATTTTTGACACTCGAGCTTGTAGATCTGCTTCTCGCGCTCGGCGATCTCCTGCAACGGACAGCCGGCGGCGGCCAGTCAGTGCTACGGTCGCCCGCGTGCTGTCGTGACGATCGACTCCGCCGTTCCGAGGAAATCAGTTTTAATAAAAAGCCACGTCGCTGCTCGTGCTGGTTCGGTGGACGTCACGTGACATATGTCGCAACGGCCATCCCGGGTTGCATGTCTCAAAACAAGAAATGTCTAAGACGTGCAGCTTCTAACACTGCCTCAGGATGCCGCAACTTGACGGCTTGTGCCGACGGTTCCGACACAAACAGATAGATCGTGTGTCTGACAAAAGACGAGAACCGGCGACATCACAACCCAGCGGTGCGCGGCTGCCAGCTGTCGCTTCTCATCTTGTGCAGGTCATCTGATTATGAAAGAGCCAGTCGCACCAGTTACCCACCATGAAAAATGACGGTGTTTAACGCCCCGGCCGACCTCGCCGCGAGCACCGCGCCGGTCATCGACCTCGCGCCTGTCGTGTGCAGTGCCCCCTGCAGACCGTGATCGGCGACACGAATTTCGTCCCGCGTTAAAAATCGGCATCCTTGTCCGATTGCAACGATCGCCAGACAGCGACCGGAGCAACAGAGGTGCGACAGCGGGTTCGAACGAGAAGTACAAGTAAGGTGGCATATCAGCCACATTTGGCCTGTGCGATCACCGCCCTACAGAATGTCCACGCGTCTCAACAGACCGATCCAAGCCGAGCCGCAGTCGCTATCTCCCCGTAAACAGACATTCCGGCGCGGTTCCCTCATCATGTCCCATGACGGCGGATGACGTTGTATGTACACACACCGAATGACGTCAAGGGCAACCGGAAGCCGGCCGAGTGCTGAGGGGGATGGGAGAGCGAGTGGAAGCCGGTCGAATGCTGTGAGCGGTGGGAGAGCGCGCAGAAGCCGGCCGAGTGGTGTGGGGGATGGGAGAGCGAGTGGAAGCCGGCCGAGTGCTGTGAGCGGTGGGAGAGCGCGCGGAAGCCGGCCAAGTGGTGTGGGGGATGGGAGAGCGAGTGGAAGCCGGCCGAGTGCTGTGGGCGGTGGGAGAGCGCGTAGAAGCCGGCCGGGTGCTGTGGGCGGTGGGAGAACGAGCGGAAGCCGGCCGGGTGCTGTGGGCGGTGGGAGAGTGAGCGGAAGCCGGCCGGGTGCTGTGACCGGTGGGAGGGCGAGTGGAAGACGGCCGGGTGCTGTGGGCGGTGGGAGAGCGAACGGAAGCCGGCCGAGTGGTGTGGGCGGTAGGAGCGAACGAAAGCCAGCCGGGTGCTGTGGGCGGTGGGAGAGCGAGCGGAAGCCGGCAAAGTATTGTGGGTGGTGCGAGAGGAGCGAGAAAAAGCAAGAAAACGCCAAGGGAACCCACGGGAACAAATTAGAGCAGCGAGTGGGTGCTGACAAACATTGAGACACAGACACAGATCAACCTGGGTAATTGCGCATCGCCTTGGTAGATCATTCATTTTTCACTTATCCCGCGATACAGTGAGCGAACAAACCGACTTCAGCCCCAGGTAAGCCCGCTGCACTCTTGACGCAGCACAGAGGACGCGTCTCGCTCTGTGTCGGCACGCCCGGCCGCCGCTGCCCTGTCGGCACGATGACGAAACTTCCGCCGGTTCACAGCGGCGCCCGAGTGTGCCCATTCCTCCGCGTCCGCACGGAGGTCAGGCCCGCCCCACACGGCACGTGACGCGGCCGGCGGTCCTGCCCCGCAGCGCGCGCGCCTGCATGTCCGCGGGGGTGGCTCGCTGGCCGGGGCACGTCAGCTGCTGACCTGACCCGGGCGTCACGGCACAGTTCCGTTCCTGGTCCCACGATGCCGTTCCTTTCTCACCAGATCGTGAAACAAATTAGCATGTTTATTGTCCGGGAGTTAATGCGTTATGCATGAACCATATCAATAACATTAACACCCACCAGCCACAAAACATTAGGCAGACCACTAACGCGTAATGACCTGAGAAATTCACTTTCATTACCGCACAATTGACACCATTGCGCGATTTGTGCACCAAATGATCGCAGTTTCGTCGCACTGCTTTGCGCAGTTCACTTACCTTATCACCTCAGCTTTCTGGATTTCAACCGTGTATTCTGCTATGCATCAGAGATAATAACTGGTCGATTATTTCCCTTCGTACGCCTACTAGTTTCACACCTTCCAAACTTTCCCGTGTTCTACAAACCAGAACAATGGCGTTATTTTTCGTGAAATCGGGAGGCCAATTTCAGACCTCCGTCACAATAGTATTGCGATTATACGCATGCCTTACTATTGTCATATCGTATTAGTTCGAGTCTGCTGTGAATGCGAAGAAGGATTCCCTTTTCTCTGTCGTCCCGAAACAATCATTATGAATTTGAGTTTGCTATTTTCCTAGCAGCTATTTCGTTAACTTCCCTGAAATAATAAGACAGCCAAAGTCATACAACATGCATTACTTTAGTCACAATACACCTGATTATCCCAAGCGTACTGTCCTTTTCGTTCATTATCTCACACAAGTCAAAACGTCAGTATTCATAGGCAGCCCCACCGGATGTCCCACTACGCCCTGTCGGCCAGCCCTAGCCACACGACCGGCCAGTGGGGTCACCGGGGTCACAGCTAATCCCAGAATGAGCTGACCCTGGCCGGCCTCTCACCCCTGGCCAGCCGGGGCGCGGGCCGTGCTCAGGTAGCTGGCGAATGAAGGATGCTTTCTGCCGCCACGCCGCGGTGCACGCAACACCCAGCACGAACGTCTGGCGCCCAAACAGCAGGCTTACAACACATGCGAACACGTATGCAATACCCTGATATAATTGGCACGCCTGGGTGCTACATAGTAACACGTTTTCATTTAATTACCAAGCCTGGGTTCAGAAGCACTGTGCAGGTGCAAGCTCATGAGCGAATTCACAGTGCTTCAGCAGCGTGTATGTACGTTGTGGTACGGGTGTACAATGTCCATGACTAAAACTAGATATTAATGTCACGGCCACCTGTAATTACTTCGTGCCATGTAATAATCTGTTCTCTTATGCTACGCTTTCTCTTGGTGTCAGACACTCATTTCGTAGAAAGCACGGTACGAATCAAACGGGGTTTCCAGACAACAAGAGCAAAGCATGGTAAATAAAGGCCCTCCCCTCGAACCAATTTTATCTGTATAATAAGGTTTGTAAATTGCCAACGCAGTGACAGTGACCGGCTCCACTTATCCCTAGAAAGAAAGCCATCGCCATCATCATCAGCGGAGAGCCCGGCAAAACGGCACCCAGTTTTGCAGGCCTGGTTTCCCTCAGTTTTCTGCTGTTCATTGGGCGGATATGGCGGGTACGGACGGCGGGTGTGGGCGGCGGTGACGGCGCTCCGCTGGCGGTGACGTCGGCCGGAAGAGTGCCGGGTGCAGCGGCGCATGACCCGGGTCACGGCCCGCCTCGGCGGACAGCGCTGCGTAGGACGTACAGCGCGCACGTCACGGCCGCTAGCCGTACGCTCACGCCCAGCCGAGTTGTCTCAAGTGCACGACCGCGTGCAGCTGGTAACAGTGTATACTGCGCAGGAGAGCGCACTGGTCGAGACGACAATGTCTTCAGTCGGAAACTGCTCCTATGCTTGCCGAGGACGGTTCTATTTGGTGTCGAGCTCCAACCAGAAGGTGCGATTCCAGCAGAGGCGAGATTAGCACGTGGGCCATGCTTGTGCCAGCGATGATCAGGTCTGCCCGTCGCGAACATCGCCCGACTCGATCCGTGCCAGCAGGCACATCGCACAACAAACAAGCAAACCCAACCGCGCGCCGTGCCCCGTCGGGCAAATCTGGCCACAAACGGGGGCACGTACATCGCAGTCGCGCGCCAAATAAGTCGCCCAGCGCCCGCCGGTCACACGCGGCGTGTGGCGAGCTGAAAGCGAGCGCATTCCTGTCTGGCTTCGCGGCCAAACCTGTCGCTTGCTCCACACGCGCCCAGCCGTCAGGCCGTCGCCCGCCCAGGGCCGAACACGCCTGTCAAACACGCCCTCAGACCGAGTGCCGTCCAGCGCGGACTCACGGACACGGCCACTGTTGCGAGTCGGTGGGGTCGTGACCCAGGTACCTTTGGTCAGATCAGTCATTGTTGGAGGTCTCCGTGTCGAACGGCATCGAAAGCGTTTTGAGCAATGACAAGTCGGTTCCTGCCACTGACGACTTTCACGTGCGCTCACGTCCCTGGCTGGACTCCAAGACGCGTCACCCGCGCGAGCGACCCGGCGGCGGCGGCGGCGGCGGCGGCCCGGTCCCCCCGCCAGTGCGTGTGCTGCCGGGCGCGGTCAGCACACCGAGACGGGCTGCGGGGCCCCGCGACCTTGCCGTGCCGTCCGAGATGCCCGATAGCCGAGCGAGCGGCAGTCTCGCAGCGGCCGACAAAGCCCGCCCGTCCTCAGCTCAGCGACCAGGCACACACCGGCCCGCCGGCCGCCCGGCGGCGCAGCTGACGACCCTGGCAGACCGTGCTCAGCCTCACCTGGCCCGCCGGGTGCCCGGCCACGCTCCTGACGACCCTGACAGACGGTACTCAGTCCCACCTGGCCAGCCGGCTGCTCGGCGGCACCGTGCTCAGTCTCACCTGGCCCGCCGACTGCACAGCCACGCTTCTGACGACCCTGACAGACGTTACTCAGTCTCACCTGGCCCGCCGACTGCCCGGCCGCGCTCCTGACGACCCTGGCAGACGTTATTCAGTCTCACCTGGCCAGCCGGCTGCCTGGCCACGCTTCTGACGACCCTGACAGACGGTGCTCAGTCTCACCTGGCCCGCCGACTGCCCGGCGGCACCGTGCTCAGTCTCGTCTGACCCACCGGTGGGACACAAGAGCTTCTCACGCATGCAGTGTAAACAAGCTATTTCTCTTTGCTCATGGCGTTTTCTAAAACCAACTCAGAGGTTTCCGACGCAAGTTGTTGGCAGTACACTACCGTCAGGTTTACCTGCACTTGATGGCAGTACAATCGCAAATAAACGTATTTTTCTGGGATCCTTGAGTGGTAATCAAAATCGCGTTTGCACGCAACCCAAGCACGGTATAACGTGGGTTCGAGCCTAGGTACCGACTGAGTTTCCTCGTCCCACGCGACAACGGGCTTTAGATTTCATTTACTGAGACGACATTGCTAAATGCCCTGAATGCTGAATGCGTCGTCCCCCTCCCTCCCCTCCCCACCTCCCCACCTCCCCACCTCCCCACCTCCCCACCTCCTCCTCCCACCTCCCCACACCTCACAGATAACTGACGGTTCGCCCCGCCTTCCCACGCCTCACAGATAACTGACAGTTTAAAACCCTGACGCGGACGCAGTGCCGCTGCACCCGCTGTGCCGGGCTGATGAAATACCATCGGTCGCATCCCGCGGCTTGAACCCCTCTTTGTCCGGCCGGGAAGACGAGACCACGTGACGTCCGCGGATCGGCAGGCGCTCGCGAGGCCCCAGAAGGTGCCCGATTCTCCGGACTAAGTGGCCCTTTGAATACAATGAGGGTTCGTGTTCGCCGGTGCCAGCGGGGGGTGATCTCCGCGCTCCGCCGGCCGCGAGGCCTTGGGCTGGTTGACGACTTCAAGACGTGAGACCGAGGCCGACAATAGGAGGGTACGGGCAACAACGGCTGCCGGTGCCTGCTGAGATCCAGCGCAAGAGAGCAGTTTCGCTCGAACGCGTCACTAATCACCTGCCGCTTGGACCCATTCTTTCCTGACAATGCCACATGCGGACTGTTTCTGACGTGTTTTCTGCACGCTACGGCGCCGTGGAACGGCCCTGGGGTGTCGGCCGAGCAGCCAGCGGCGCGTCAGACAACGCGCCAGGCGGCCGACCCCAGCTCCGGCCGAGTCGGCAGGAAAACACCGCCCGACAGGTTTCAGCCACCTGCGAGACGGAAGCCGACAGCTTTCAGATGGCCCGTGAGAAAGCGCTATTCATGAGGCGTCAGTGGCCGGCCGGCCTCGAGGCGGGTTGGAGACGCTCACACTGCGCACCGTTCGCCGGGCTTTCGTCCGGCAAACGGATCTCCGGGCGCTGCCGTGGCGTGAATAATGGCGCCAATGACATGAGGCCTGCAGTCAGATGGCGACGCAGTCACCGGCGCGCCGCGCCCAGTCGAGAGACAGAGGCCTGTGATCTCCCCGCACGGAGACGTCGACGGCGGGACGCTCCGCGCGCGAGCGAGGCGTCCTTCACACGGCCGCCGGCTGCTGCCCCACCCTGTCGTTGCAGTCCCGCCGGCCGACCGCCGGACCGCCCCGGCGGTGCCGCGGCACACCAATGCCGCCTCGCCCAAGTCGGGGGAAGTGGACCGCGACAGTGACGGCGGGCGGACCGCCGCCACAGCCTTGGCGTGATGGCCAACTGAATGGGCCGTCCCAGAACGCCGGCACGCAAGGACAGACGGCAGCGTAAACCTCCGGCCATCCTCACCGGGACGTCACGATTGTCGATTGGTGCATGATGCCGGCGGAAGAATAGCAAGGGCGTGCTGAGCACGCTCGCTGCGCCCAGTGAACACAGGAGGAAAGTGGTCGGGCTTATTCGCTCCCCGTCGGCCCACTCAAGGCGAACTGTCTTAAAAGCTGGAGACGCGATTCGTAAGCAAAAAGCTATGACGTTTGACTCAGACCTTCTGTATCCTTACTCAGACTCCCATGACTCACGTCGGTTCCGTTCTACCACAGCCGAGGCACCTGTAACCTGGCGTCCCACCCGGCGCGTGTGACTAACTGTCCGAGTTTTTGTCGCCTGACCGGCGCGTGACATTACCGACTAACCACCGGCACCTGGGACACGGGCGTGGCGGCACAGCCCGGGGGGGGGGGGGGGCGGGGGGCGTTACACGGCGCGCCAGGCGTGGAAGTCGGCGTGAACAGGCTGTCCAACGCCCAGTTATCCCGTCTGATGGATGATCGGGGAGGGACACCATGTACGGCTTAATACAGTGCCTCTTGAGCGATAGTCGCTGGGGAGCCGGGGAGCCAATGGCGCAGACAGGCTTTTTGTCTAGAGTGGACTAAGCCTTTGTTTTTTGTACAATGGAGCGTGATAAACCTCTGGAAAGCGCTCACGTGGACGAACGCACGTGTTATCGCAGAGATCCCGTCAGAGCGATGCGGACCCATCAAGTCTCCAGAAAACACGTCACAGTTCCCACAACACACGACATTGGTCAGGAAATCGAGTTCCATGCATCGCTGAGAATGAGACCGGCCCCGAGGTGAGAGCTGAGACTTTGGCCAGACGCGAAGGGAATCGAATTCCGTAACATGGCTTCAAAGTAGCGGCGATCGCATGCAGCGCCCATGCAACAAAAAACTTCGCACAAATAGGCGGCAAAACCACTACCACCGTAATCTTACAGGCATTACCAACCACAAACATATTTGTCCCGAAGTTTTAGGCCTGCAGGTCTCCTCGCATCGCGTGAACAGCCGGCCACAGAGTTGTTTTCTCTCTGTATGTCCAGCTTGCCACCAGCCGGACGCCACCTTACAGCCTGTCACTGGCACTGCGACCAGCTAGGATGGGACAAGCAAAACCGGTTCGATGTGGTGTTCAACGCACACACCCGTCTTGAACGGATCTTCGGCGATTTGGAGAAGCTATGGGATGCGCAATTGAGCGTTGCGAGCAAGGAAGTTACATCAGCACTCAGTCGCCACAACCTTAACTTCTAAACCTCGCTGAAATCAGCGCACCACACTGATCCCTGACAGTACATCCCCGACATTACACATAAGTTCAGTGCATCCCGAACATTGCACACAAGTTAACTGTCAAAGGCAAATTATTCTCGACGGAGAGTGGCGTCGTCGGACACCATATGAACATCTGACACATCAGCACTGACGCATGAGGAGGATGATGACGTGAAACCGACCACGTAATTAACCGCAAAATGCCCCCAGCAGCCTGCGGCGCGCCTCAGCCATAGACACGGTCATTTATCAGGATTACGAGTGCACAGCCCCTGCGGCCACCAATCCCGCGCCTGTCTGCTCCCGATTCCCAGGCCAGGCCCCGCGAGCGAGCGCGTCCGGACGGGCCACCGTTAACACCGTCTGACCGCCACTGGAGGCCCCCGGCTCCGGCCGCCGCTGGAGGCCCCCCGGCTCCGGCCGCCACTGGAGGCCCTCCAGCGCCGGCCGCCACTGGAGGCCCTCCGGCGCCGGCCGCCACTGGAGGCCCTCCGGCGCTGGCCGCCAGTGGAGGCCCCCGGCTCCGGCCGCCACTGGAGGCCCTCCGGCGCCGGCCGCCAGTGGAGGCCCTCCGGCGCTGGCCGCCACTGGAGGCCCTCCGGCGCCGGCCGCCACTGGAGGCCCTCCGGCGCTGGCCGCCACTGGAGGCCCCCGGCTCCGGCCGCCACTGGAGGCCCTCCGGCGCCGGCCGCCAGTGGAGGCCCTCCGGTGCCGGCCGCCAGTGGAGGCCCTCCGGCGCCGGCTGCCGCCTGGCGTGGCGTGCTGGCGCGTACCGTGCCGCAGCCCGGCAGCGCATACCTCCAAGGCCCGCCGCCAAATACGGCCGGCGGCTAATTAAAGCCACCGGTTACATTCCTGGGGCGCCGCACAAACTTTTCCCCACGCGGACAAAGGGTGTGCGGCTGCAGCGCCGCGCCCAACACAGCGCGTGTCTGAGATGCTTCACCGCAAGTGAGCTGGGCGGCCGGTGACGCGCCGAGAGCTGCTCGACGCGGCCCCGAGGCTTTGTGACCTCACGTCTCCCTTGCAATAGTCACGTTGTATTTGATGTCACGTTCCCCGGCCCCTTTAAACATTGGAGGTCAGGTGTGCCCTGAACTCGCGGCAGCTGCGACCGGGGTTCGTTACGGGCCTCAGGCAGGCCACGCCCGGTCTGGGTCACTGTGGGCTCCAGAGACCATTCATTGCCAGCTCGCAGTGGGTAAATCCCAGTCGGTCCCCGACGTTCCGCACGGGCGCCTGGGCTTGGCTTATTGCTCTGTTGGGTAGCCCTGACCTTCACGGCGCCCACTTTTATTAGATGACAACACGACAGCACGGAAATGTCTGAGCACTAGGGCCATGCATTGAGAGCCACCGTATATACCTGAGCCCAATGTTCACTTGCCTGTTGCCTGTCCCTACTTCGTCCTCATCGATTGCCTGACTTCAGTCCGTCCCCCCCGCCCCCAGCCCCCCCCCCCCCTGTTCGCCTCACTGAGCTCACCTTGTCCTTCTGCTCGGTGACGGCTCGCAGGCGCGCCAGGTCTCGGCTCTCACGCACGCCCTCCCGCTTGTTCTCGTCCAGCAGGCGGCGCAGCTCCCGCTCGTGCTGCTGCCGCTGCCGGCGCAGCTCGGCGGCGCGCTGCTTCTCCCGGATACGGCACAGCTGCGCCTGCCGGGCACACACGGCAGACGTGGGAGACGGCACACACGGCAGACGTGGGAGACGGCACACACGGCAGACGTGGGAGACGGCACACACGACAGACGTGGGAGACGGGACACATGGCAGACGTGGGATACGGGACACACGACAGACGTGGGAGACGGGATACACGACAGACGTGGGAGACGGGATACATGACAGACGTGGGAGACGGGATACACGACAGACGTGGGAGACGGGACACACGGCAGACGTGGGATACGGGATACACGACAGACGTGGGAGACGGGACAAACGACAGACGTGGGAGACGGGACAAACGACAGACGTGGGAGACGGGACACACGGCAGACGTGGGAGACGGGACACACGGCACACGTGGGAGATGGGACACACGGCAGACGTGGGAGACGGGACACACGGCAGACGTGGGAGACGGGACACAGCGGCAGACGTGGGAGACGGGACACAGCGGCAGACGTGGGAGACGGCACACACGGCAGACGTGGGAGACGGGACACACGACAGACGTGGGAGACGGGACACACGGCAGACTGGGAGACGGGACACACGATAGATGTGGGAGACGGGACGCACGGCAGACGTGGGAGACGGGACACACAGCAGACGTGAGTGACGGGACACACGACAGACGTGTGAGACGGGACACACGGCAGACGTGGGATACGGGACACACGACAGACGTGGGAGACGGGACACACGGCAGACGTGGGAGACGGGACACACGATAGATGTGGGAGACGGGACGCACGGCAGACGTGGGAGACGGGACACACAGCAGACGTGAGTGACGGGACACACGACAGACGTGTGAGACGGGACACACGGCAGACGTGGGTGATGGGTCACACGGTAGACGGTCGAGACGGGCTACACAAGACGCGTGCCGAGCGTGGGAGGCGGGCCAGAGGTCTCTCACAGGTGGAAGACGAGGCAAGCGTGGGAAACAGATCACACGTGGGGACGAGACAAGCGGCGGCGCGAGAGACGATCGAAGCATCCACAGCCAGGGGGACGGGACGCACAGAGACAAGAGACTTTCGGAGACACATCACACATGGACGCGGTATGCAAGACGACAAACGAGGCAGGCTGTCGGGACAGGTAACTCACGTGGAGACAGGACGCACGGTGGAGACGAGCAATACGAGGGGACCAGACACGCCGCGGCGCGAGACGCTCGTGACAGCGCAGCGTTGCACGAGGTGCATGACGGCAAAGCTGAGCGGGCAGTAACCAAGCGGCGCAGATTCCTGACCAGTGACGAACTTCCATTGTATGGCGTCCGAGGAATGGGACATTTCCTGTGGGTTTGCTTTAAAAAATATGTGACCGGGGGTCACGTTGGTATGCAGACCCAATCAAAACACTTGCATTTGATCTGCAAGCGCAGTTGCCAAATCTAACCGCAGTGTCGAACACATTGCCCGTTTCCTGTGCTTTCCCATGCTACGAGTAATGTCCTCCGTTTAAATGTTACGTCAAGAAACAGGGAGGGAACCTAGTTTAAAACCTAAACCAAGCTTAACCGAACCGCGGACTGCATACAAATCAGTTTAAACGAAGATAAAACAGGCATTGGCTCAGAAACAGCAGAATCGAAGCGCCGAACAACTGAGTTGAGGCTGTAAAGGCCAAGACCGCAAGAACGGCAAGTGAATGGTCAAATTATTAACAGACCACTTGTTTTTTTACCGCTTTTCTCTCCTTTTTAACACAATTTAGTGCAAATGACTGACATACTGATTTCTCTATCGGGTAGCACACATCAAAAACATTTAAGCTATGCACGGCTTTAAAAAGGTGTTAGCTGTAAGAAGCGTGAAGATTGTTGCTGGCCGGGCGCATCACGGTTACAGAGGTGCGCCACATTTCGTCGCGCTGGCGGACGAGGGTGTGGCATTCTGTAAGTCATCCACATGGTGCGTCACACGACGTCACGCGCGACCCGTTACACAGTCGTAGCGACTCGGTCACACGGGAGGCAGGTGTCCGATTGTCCACCGAACCATGAAATCCTGATAGATTGGAAATCCATCCATGATCAAATGTACTAGCAAGTGGGCCTCAAAACCATCTGGGTTCACAGCCAATTTCGGCTTGTCATCCAATTTGGCTCACGTGCGGGCAAAGAACTTTGCTTCCAGTGCACACCACGCCATGGAAGCCTGTATTGACGAGACCGTGGGCCGGGCAGGCCTTCACGGCAGGCTGAAGGCACCGATCTCAGCATTCAAGGTCACAGAAATTAAGCGGACCACGCCCCGACAGGTGGGAGGCATGGAGACGAGGTTTCAAAACGCCACGGCGACTGACGTGTACTGTTGTGCACAGGCTCCGGCCGAAAGAACCCTCGCCAACGACTCGGCGTGCCATGAGAATGGCAGCACGAGGACGTCGCGCCGACGAATGGCCGATCATGCTACAAAACTCGGTACTTCCCCGGCGAGCCGCCAGGGGTGGAATGTGAGATCGTCAATATAAATCGTTGATATACAGGGTGCGTATTACCTCGCCATAGCAGCCACCGCTCATAAAGCGCCCGCGGCCCCACAGCCCTCAATTCCAGCCGGGCGCACAACGTCCATAAATCACGCCACCTCGGTGGGAAAACCTTAATTGAGAAGTACCGATTGGCAAATCAATCGGGCCGCTGTTACGGCCCGTCACAGCTGATGGCCCGGGGGCTCGCGACCTACCGCTGACCCTGGGCTGACCCCTGGGCGGCAGGCGGCGGCGCGCACGCAGCCCGCGCCGCCGGCCGGCTGGGGGCGTTGTGAAAGTGTTGGCGCAGCCGCTCAGTAATGGAGACGGCTGGGAACGTTCCCGCCGCGCTGGGCGCCGCGCCGCCGGCGGCCGCGGGCGCGCGACGGACTGTGACCGCTCCCGCCCCCCGCCCGAACGACGCCGAGTCCGACTCCGACTCCAACCGAAACTCGGACAAACTCGAGTCGGGCTCGAGGCGGTTCGTGGTCGCCTGGCAGACCGGGTATCGCTGAAGCCCGGCAAAGGAACGCGGCACAGCCATGGGCGCGTCAAGAATGCCGAGATCGGATTCGATACATCATCACAAGTTGGTAAGCACCGCACGCCTATGTATTGCGAGACGCGTTTCACGGTGCTGCCCAGGTTGGAGAACATTTACGTTACACGTGCGTCGGCCCGGCCCCAGCCGCGAAGCAATCGCATCTGTCACGGCGCGGGTAGTTCTCTTGACGTGTGTTATGTAGTGTGGGTGTGTGACGCAATCTAAGCAATTTTAAAGGAGGAAGCAGGGCCAGGCTGATGAAAGCCGACAAGCGGTGTGTGCTGTACTGCCTGGCCCCGCGTATAGCGCAGGTGAGCTAATGCTGTGAGCAGAAACTACTATAATATTTTGGTGGAGTCTGCCTCGTCTACTAGTTCATCAAGACTTGCCGAATGGGTTGATGGCTCTCATTAAAATAAAATGCCTACCTCTGCTTTAAGCTCATCTCGTTCTGTCTCCAGCTGGTGGATGACACTCTTCAACCTGAGCACCTCCTGCTCTTGCGACTGTCCTGCCACCTCTCGGTGACCGGGTGAGACGCCGGCGGTGCGCTCGCGGTCGGCCTGCAGCCGCGCGCGCAACCGCTGGATCTCCTCATTTTTGGCGCCAATTGCGCGCCGGATCTCCAGCTGCTTCTGGCGCGTGAGGTCGCGCCGCAGCCGCTCCACCTCGGCTTCCTTCTCCTGTTGCAGACGCGTCTCCAGATGCTCGAGCTCCTCAGGCGCCTCCTGGTAGTTGGACTCGAGCGAGGAGCAGATGCCCGACTCGCTGCGCAGAGACTCGAGGCCGGAGAGGACAGTGACGAGCGGCGGCGACTGGGCCAGCTCGCGCAGCACACGCTCCTCCTCCTCCATGTCCTCCGAGGAGCCGCCCACTGCGCCGTCGGCCGGCCGTGTCTTCTCCGTCTCGATATCGCGAGTCTCGGCGCCGCCGGAGTCGCACACGGTTAGGGAGGACTCGTCGCCGTCCTCGTCCCCACATGTTGTCAGTGAGGACTCCTCATCGTCCTCCTCGTCAACGAAGGTGCCCATTGAACATGGCTCCTCTTCTTCATCTTCGCATGTTGTCAGCGAGGACTCGCCTTCGTCCTCCCCGCACAGCGAGGACGGCTCATCCTGCTCCACCTGCCGGGGGCCCGGCGCCACCACCTCCCGCTCTCTCTCCGGCGCCGGTCGCTCTCGCTCGCAGCTGGACTCCATCATCAACCGGTCACGTCTAGAGGCCACCTATGCTGACCCGGTCCCTGCCATGCCTGCTGACACCGCCTTAGGCTAGGGCAGGTCAGAGGTCGGAAGTTCCCGACAGAACCTCACCCGGAGCGGCGGCGCCCGGCGCTACCGAGAACAGGACGAGCCCACTGATCGCGTGAAACGATTTTTTTGCACGCCCCAGCGCCGATCCCCGAATACTAATCAGCACTGAGGGGCCGCGGCAGACAGCGGCGCGGCGCGCATCTTCGGTAAACACCGCCACACGGCGGTGGCCCCGCCGCGCGGCGCGTCGCGAGTCAGGCGCCGTCGCGGCAGCGCGCGAAGCGAGTCACAGCGCGAGTCGAGCCCGCCTCGCCGACTGCAGCCGTCCACCCGGGATCCGCAGGCACGTCCTGACCCGGACAGGCTGGTCCTCCGCCCCGTCACTTTCACGCGGCTTGTGGCTGCGCAACGCACGCACCTGTGGCCGCGATCACTGCGGTCTGTCCTGTACCGGCCGGCGACGCGGAAATACCGACACTGTGACGCTCGGTCCGTCACCACCCGTCACCACCCGTCACAGCCCGTCACCGTCCGCTGCCGGTCGCCTCACCGCGCCATCGCCCCGCGCCGCGGCACAGCCCCACCGGTCCAGGCCACCAGCACCACTGCCGGACTCGGCGGCCGCCGCCGGCTCCGGGCGCCCGCTCACTCCAGTCACGTGACGCGCGCCGCCAGCCAGCCGGCTGGACGCACAGGACCACGTGACTGGGTGGGGCGGGCGGGAAGGAAGGGGGGGGGGGGTGTTACCGACGGGGAGGGAGGCTCGGACAGAGAGGTGGTTTACATCAGCGTCCTGGAGCACACGCCAGCGTCGAGAAAAGAAAGCCTTCAGCGCTTGTAAAGCACGACGCGACGCAAAAGCAATCGGCGCGACGTGAAGTGGTTTTTATTTCGGACAGCAGTGCGCAGTGTCCTTGGCGATTAGTGATTAGTAGCGGGAGCACGACTACCGCCCGCAACAGCAGATCGGAAATCGAGTCACTGCTAAGACCAGGGGTCAGACAGTACCGCGTTAGGGAAACTCTTAGGGAGTAGTGAGGTCAACGTCTAGAAGGAACCGCGTACGGAACAGTGAGCTCAGTATCTGAACACGAACGGACTGCTCAGGCAGCCGTCGGACGGCGGCATTACAAGATAAGAACGCCATACATGAGCCCGCTCTCAGCGCTGAATCCGTCGCAGCAGAACACGAACACGGCAGCTCGCTCATGACTGGTCACAGCGCTAAACTTGGCTTGCCGCCGACGTGTTGAGTGGCGAGGAGTGGCAGCGACATGTCGGTCGGCTTCAATGCCGAGACATGAACACTCGCATGCAGGTTAACTTGGCACCTAGTGATCTAAATAGCGCCCGTTCGACCCAGATCGCTGGCTGCGGCCGACGAGCGGCAGCTGCGCACCGTCGCGGCATAATTGGAATTGGCCCTGATTGTGTCCCGGTTCCGGTCTGAATGCCCTCTCCCGGGTGCCGGCGGAGTAAAGGCTTGATGGACGGCGGAGGCGAGCTTCGCAGGTGGTGCGCCCTAGCCGGGTCACGCGCGTGCGGTCGCTGCAAGACCGGCCGGGCCAGGCCGGGTACGGAACCAGTCTCCGATCCCCAGACACAGCTGATTTCAGGCAAGTGCCGCCCGCAGACCGCTGCAGTAGTCGCTGTCAGCCTGGCAGCTAGATCGCGACAGCCGCTGTCGGAGCAGCACGGCAGGCTGGTCGGCCGTGCTGCTGACCTGGCGCTGCTGCGGCCGCTGCTGCTGCGGCCGCTGTCGGTCGGCTGGTCGGCTGGTCGGCTGGTCCCGCCGCTGTCGCTGCTGCTGCTGCTGCTGCTGCTGCGGCCGCTGATGCTGCTGCTGATGCGGCCGCTGTCGGCCGGCCGGCCGGGCCCGCCGCTGCTGCTGCTGCTGCTGCTGCTGCTGCTGCTGCTGCGGCCTCTGTCGGTCGGATGGCCGGCCGGACCCGCCACCGCCGCTGCTGCCGCTGCTGCTGCTGCTGCTGCTGCTGCTGCTGCTGCTGCGGCCTCTGTCGGTCGGATGGCCGGCCGGACCCGCCGCCGCCGCTGCTGCCGCTGCTGCTGCTGCTGCTGCTGCTGCTGCTGCTGCTGCTGCTGCTGCTGCTGCTGCTGCAGCTGCTGCAGCCGCTGTCGTTCGGCCGGCCGGTCGGACTCGCCGCTGCTGCTGCTGCTGCTGCTGCGGCCGCCGTCGGCCGGCCGTGCGCGCCGCTGCTGCTGCTGCTGTTGCTGCTGCTGCTGCGGCCGCTGTCGGCCGGCCGGCCGAGCCCGCCGCTCCGGCCCGCGCGTCGGCCGGGTGAAATTATCCCGTGTGAAGCCGGTGAGCCGGATGCGCGGTCTGAAATGCAAACGACGTCGCGTGCCTTTGCTGACGGCCACAGGACGGAGCGAGCGGGAGGGATGCGGTGCTTGCACGGGAAAGCACCGTGGAAATGGCCACGGTTTGCGAGAACGACGAGAGATTTCCGCTCATGGCTTTCGCTGAGGCAGGCCCGTCGCATGGCTGCAGCAGTGGAACCGCGATGTGGGGCGACCTTGTATGCCGGATGGTAACACGTACCTATATTGCATAGCGGCGTTGGCGCTTATCGTGCTCGTGACAGACAATGGGTCGTTTTATTTTGGCGTTGCGGTAGTTCTCTTCGTTTTCTGTGCTAAATAACACCACGAGTATCGCCTTTTTATCATTATTTTTCAGAACCGATGCTAAACGCCATCTTTTGAGACTGGCCGATACAATAAGTGGTGATGTGAAAGTGAAGTTGCCGGCATTCAAGGAACAGGAAAAGATGATTTATTTTACATATTTTCTCAATGACCGGTTAGTGTACAGGTTTGGTTGCTGTGGGGATGTTCGTTATCAATAAGAATTAATTCGGAAGTGATGACGCCTGAAAGAAGCGGCGGCTCAGCACGTTTTGGGTTCGTTTCTCACGCAACACCAACCGCAATGTCTGGCGCAGGATACTTGCATGAAGTCACATTCCACTGCAAAGGTGTGCATTTTCAGGCGATATGTAATCTCCAGTAGAATTGAACGTTGATCCGATTTCATCGTCAAGCAACGGCCAAAGCGATCACCAGCTGACACTGGCACGGCAGCTCTTTCACCTTTGCACTGCGGCTCACCGCCGCCGTCACAGGGTGTAACCTTGTCTGTGGACGGCACCTGACCCGAGCACCGTTACAGATACAGCGCTGCAAAACCCCGGACGGACCCGACTGGTGCCGTTGTCTGTCCGACTCAGCTCCGCCCGCTCGCCGCTTTCCGTCCCGTTCGCTGAGATTCTCGGCAGGCCAAAAACTCCGCCGAGAAAAACTCGGGCGCGGTTTTTAGCCGCCAGTGGCGTTCAGAGGCCGGCTGGCTGAACGGGCGTGGCAGAGAACTGACTCAAACGTCTCGAACGGCGCAGAAAAACCGGGCGAACGCCGCCGACAGAACGCCTCAGGCGGCTGGGCCCGCGTCACGCGGCGGCGGGGCGGAAGGCCTCGCCGATCTATCCGTCGGTTTGTCAGCGACATTCAGAAGTCAGGAGGGGATTGTTGAGCAGACGCACTGAGTCGTTTGCTTACCATCAGGTGACCGAAGGCTCGAGTGAGAGAGATCCCGGCCGACTGCCACGCCGGCGACGGGCTGGACGGCGACAGCTGAGTCATGTAACGGGAGTAAAACGAAGGCAGCTCTCAGCATCCCGCGTGCAGCTGACAGGACCAAACGTAGAGGTTCCGTAAAAAGTTGCATATATCATGAGGTGGTTACAAAAACCCGCCGAGCAATCATGCAGATGTTAGTCCTGTCGCGTGCACAGAATAACACACATAAACAGTTCAAAGATAGGCTGTCCTCCGGTAAATATGCTGTGAGTTCAACGCAACATAACCCAGTAGGTGCAAGTACCATGAAAGCCGCCTATTGACGTGAGGATGACAGAAATTACCTTATAAATTGGTAGAGGTAAAATGGGCGCAAATTGTGTGCAAAATAAGCAAAGAGCACCACCATACCGCAAACAAGAAAACAGGATGCGGAACACGACAAAGTTTATTACCGCGGTCGCTCGCCAATTTAGTTATGTTTCTACACTTTGTTGGCGCGATATGACATGCCGGCACCTCATCAAGCTTGTTTGATAACCCTGTGTTGGATTTTTTTTAAAATATTTTCGATCACTCGATTTTGTCGCTTTCGCTGCCCAGTTTCGCTCTTCCAAGTCTTGAAGAAAAATGTTTGCTTATCGCAAGCCATCAATTCATGGCTGTCGGCTTTTCCTACCAGGCTTGTCTACTGTAATCAAAGGACATGTTATATTTGCTTTACTTGATTTGCTGGGCTCTACGGAAGTTTTTTATGAACCCGATATGGTTTGTGTTCGGGCACACGGCACATCCATACATAGCCTTGCGGTACGTATCTGACTGACATGAGATGGCATGTATCTGCTTATTGCGTTTGATGACGGATAATGTTTGCACATGAAGGATGTAAACAAATGAATGTTGGCATCGCTAGCCCATCTAAACACGTGGGCATGCAGCGTGGCACGTCGGAGAGCCGAATGGAAGCACGCGGGGCGCGCCTGCTGCCCGACGCGGTGCCCAGCTATTACGTCAGTTTCCTCACGGTCCATGAGACAAAGGCGTCGTGCATGACGTGGTCCAAAGATTTGTTCACGAGCGTACCAAGAAAACTGTTAGGAGGGGCTGGACATAAGCCACGACTAACTTCTACCACCAGCAGTTTTTCGTAACTTTGTTTGTCCCTGTTTGCCCCGAACCAATTCGACATCACCCAGATGGCAACCATGCAAGTGTCCCTGCATGAGTACGTGGCCAGGTGTGCAAAGTAGCCTGCTTTCTGCAGATAAGTTTTTTCTCAGGACAAAGCCGTAGCCAGGACATGTTACCTAGTCCTGTTCATGGGGCGCAATGATCCTGTCCAGACCACTAATCTAGGCCGTTTTTCGCGACAAACGAGCCGTACATGAAGGGTGCGATGCTCGCTGATGGCCTACTATTTGCACACTAAAAGCAAAACAATGACGCAAGCCCGACTTGAAATGCCAAGCAGGGCGGATGAGACGCTCGTTCGCACGCCCATGTCCGCGGGCGAGGCCCTCGGATCCGCCCAGCTGCTGAGATAAGGAAGGTTCTCTACCCCACAGTGCACTCAGGATCCCTGACACTGGCGTGGAGGTGGGGGTGAAAGCTAAGTCACAATCTCGAAGAGCTCGGAAGAGCCGCCACAAACATGAAGACGACGCTGGTTATCGCCTTCCTCTCCGGCATGGTGGCCGGTCGGCAACAAAGTAAGACGCAGTGACAGTATATGTCGCTAATCTTTGTCACCTACATTCAGCTGAATGCTCGCGTTCCTATCGAGCCTGGCACCCGCGTTGATCTCCCTTAAACTGTGGTGTGCTGCCTTCCAGGCCAACCGACGGCAGGCTCCGACTTCATCGAGGAGCCGGAGGACGCGACTGTTCCTCCCGGGGCCTCCGTGGAGCTGGACTGCGAGCTGGTGGAGGGCGACGTCGGCGACATCTGCTCCTGGCGCATCAGTGGCACGCACCTGGGCGTGGACCACTTCTACAACGTGGACCCGCCGGCCAAAGTCCGCGCCCTGTTCCCGGAACACGAGCGCGTGTGCAGCATCGCCATCGACAACATCGACTCGCGGCACGACGGCTTCTGGACGTGCTGGCCACTCGGGCCCTACTCGCACATCAGCTCCCGGGCAGCCCGCGTCACCGTCACAGGTCAGCTGTCGGTTATCGTCACAGGTCAGGTGTCAGCCACCGTCACAGGTCAGCTGTTGGTCACACCTTCGTGAGTAAGCTGTCGCTCACCGTCACAGGTCAGCTGTCGGTCGCCGTCACAGGTCAGCTGTCGGCCGCCTTCGCAGGTCAGCTGTCGGTCACCTTCGCGGGTAAGCTGCATGTCACCGTCACAGGTCAGCTGTCGGTCACACCTTCGTGAGTAAGCTGTCACTCACCGTCACAGGTCAGCTGTCGGTCACACCTTCGTGAGTAAGCTGTCACTCACCGTCACAGGTCAGCTGTCGGTCGCCGTCACAGGTCAGCTGTCGGTCGCCGTCACAGGTCAGCTGTCGGTCACCGTCACAGGTCAGCAGTCGGTCACCGTCACAGGTCAGCTGTCGGTCACCGTCACAGGTCAGCTGTCGGTTAACGTCACAGGTCAGCTGTCGGTCACCGTCACAGGTCAGCTGTCGGTCACCGTCACAGGTCAGCTGTCGGTCGCCGTCACAGGTCAGCTGTCGGTCACCGTCACAGGTCAGCTGTCGGTCATCGTCACAGGTCAGCTGTCGGTCACTGTCACAGGTCAGCTTTCGGTCACCGTCACAGGCCATGTGAGGTCACGGCGTGACGTCACGGGCTAGGTCACATGTTATTTCACATCCCATCTCAACTCCCGAGTCGTCGCCACCGGACGGGTTCTAGCACCGTGACGGACCCTCTTCGGTGTCATGGTCGAGCAAATGAACCTAGCATTACCGTTAGTGAGTCTGTCGATTGCTATTCGTTCACGTCTGCCAATCGCATGGATTATTTGTGATGTGACTGGTGGCGATAGCATTTATGCTGTTCGAATCGATGATAAGATTAAACGTCGAGACATTTTTGAAAGCCTGTCATCTCTGAAGAGGATTCGAACATGGGGCATTTTTATTTTGCCGTTGTCAGAGCACGCTAAGCCGTGTGAAATCAGCACCCTTGAATTATAATCATCCGACTTACTTCCCTTTCGTCAAAGATTTGTAACAAACATTTGGATGGATGAATTTCTGGGATCAGCGCCCACACCATATGCGTTCTGTTTGTTGAGTCTTGACCTCCAACCCGGACCGTAAAGTCCCGAGTCCGCGACAAAACCTTGCGGCGAAAACCCACCGTGCCGCAATGCTCGGCACCGTTTGGCCTGCCTTCTGACGTCACGTGACTTTTGGCGCGGCCGCTGCCGCCGGCCGCAGGCCGTCCCAGGCGGAGGAGAACGTGAGGGCCTGAGGAGAGTCGAACCCACCCGATTCCGATTCTTCTATGGGTGGGAGAATCGGAAGGTCGGCGTCCGGCCATCTAACGAACTGAGCTACAAGGACGGGCGGGTATGTAACATCTCGCTGCTTATCCCAGGTGATCCGATCACCACCACGGAGCCCCCACCAGCGCCATCTACCACCACGTCAGGGCCATCTACCGTCAGCTGGTGGACGCTCAATCCAGCCAGCACCATCACGCCCGACACAACAACGCCCGAGACAACGACTGCAACTGTAACGACACCTTCGCCCGCACCGACCACCACCCGTCCGCCGTCGCCGGGCTTTGACTGCCCGCAGCCTTACGGCCTGTTCGCCGACCCCGAGAACCCCCGCTACTACTACTACTGCGAGGAGAGCATGGCCATCCATCTGCAATGCGAGTTCCCGAGCATGTGGAGTGACTCTGACAAGCGTTGTGCTTGAAGGCGATAGTTGAGCGAGCATTGAGACTGCCGTGTGCTTTGTGTGGCTGGCTGTACACTTTGGACTATATCGGTTAATCTGTGGCTAGAATGTTACTTATCGAGTCTTACTTATGGCAATGACTTGAACTTAAATACTCTCCAATATTCTCAAATGGATCAGGCTTAGCCCTAAAGCCATTTCTTGCGGCAGGCGAATTTCTACAGACGGCTTTTATTTGTGCCTTGTATCAAAAGCTCCGTTTCTAACACCTTACGCACGTTGTGCAATTGTGCTGAATAATATACTTTATACTTTCGGATGTTGTGTAATTTGACCATCTATATACACGTCATGAGCACCAGCGGTTACATATACTTACCAACTAGATGCATTGAGTAGCCTTCCTTTAGTTGTTTTTACTGATTCCAAAAAAAAAAACACTGCATAGCACGCGGGAACACTCGGGTGCTCGGGAAGGGGGGGGGGGGGCTAGCAACTTCGAGACTGATCTCTCGGTGCAGACGGCTGTAGTAAAGTCAATCAAAGGGTGCGTGGACATCACAGATGGGCATTATTCATGCATGTTTTGAGATCTCATTTAATGAGCCTTTGACACGAGATGCATGCCGTTATCGCGTTACCCCGCAACATACTGCGCAAAACATTTCACAACTGAACAAGACTCGTGTAGAGCAGAAAACGTGTCTGAACATGCATTATCATATGCTGCGTGAGCTGCCAACTGCTCTGCCACGGCATCAGCTTAGCTTCGTCACCGATGACTGGCTCACTGCTCTCCGAGGCTGTCACGAGTGACACACCGCCCAAAGTCCTGCGCCGATAAGGCTGTTTGCGCTAACCGCAAGCCGATAGCGCATCTCAGGTCGCAAGGCGCACACTATCTCAGTCTCCGTTCGGTGTCGGCTGGGTTCGACTCGGCTGCGGCAGTCGTCTGACTCGCCTCGCTGCGGCAGCCGTCTGACTCGCCTCGCCTGCGGCAGTCGTCCGACTCGACTCGCCTGCGGCAGGCGTCTGACTCGACTCGCCTGCGGCAGCCATCTGACTCGCCTCGCCTGCGGCAGTCGTCTGACTCGACTCGCCTGTGGCAGCCGTCTGACTCGCCTCGCTGCGGCAGCCGTCTGACTCGCCTCGCTGCGGCAGCCGTCTGACTCGCCTCGCCTGCGGCAGCCGTCTGGCTCGCCTCGGTTGCGACAGTCGTCTGACTCGCCTCAGCTGCGGCAGTCGTCTGACTCGACTCGCCTGTGGCAGCCGTCTGACTCGCCTCGCTGCGGCAGCCGCCTGACTCGTCTCAGCTGCGACAGCCGTCTGACTCGACCCGGCCGCGACAGTCGTCTGACTCGCCTCAGCTGCGACAGCCCTTCCGGAGACGGACGCGACCGGCGGAATCCCAAGCGGTCTGTCTTCCACGCCGTTATCCGCTGGCGACCAGAGTGACGTCAGAGTAGACCCACGCACGGAGCAGCAGGCTCGCCGGAGGACATTTGCATGCTTTCGGGTTACGTCCGTGCGTTTGTTAAAGCCAGCTGTGACGACGGAAGAAGCCAGTTGTGTCCATTGATCGATCTGGCAGCAGTGGTGACTTTGGCAGGGACGTGTGTGGGGCTCAACTAGCCCAGCTGAAACTGCAGGAACGAGTAGATGAGCCGCTACGACTGCGTGAAGAATCAAATCAGCTATTCTGTGACGGCGCCTGGTGGTGGCGATACAGCCGGAAGCGAGACCAGTGATAGGCCGGCTTCGCTGCAGTGGTGCCCTCTGGCCATCTACAGCGTTCCCGAGCAAGCCGCTAGTGTAAATGAGTGTTTTACCTAGCCGCGGTCCCGTAGTCTGGATCTGACGCCACACTCTCGTGACAGAAACTGTTCGGCTGACAGTGCTCTTGAGTCTCGTGACGGGACATTCGGTAGGCCGTCTTCGACGCCTTTTTCTGGCCGAAGCTGTCCGGCGGGCGGCTACACTCCTGTGAGGGATACTGTTCGGCGGCCGGTTCCAGTCCTGCGAGTGATACTGTAAGGCAGGCAGCTCGCTCAGGCCCGCCGCGGCCACCATGGACTTCCTGGACAGCGGCCTGGTGGCCCCGACGGCGCCCGTCGAGCTACCCGAGCGGATCTACCTCAAGAAGAAGCGCGGGCCGAGACGCGGCGACGCCGAGGAGCGCGGCCTCGGCGACCCGCTGCTGGAGGCGGTGCCCGCTCGGAGCGTGACCCTGCTGGGCCGCCTGGGACGGCTCGTGTGCCTCGGCCTCGGACCCGCCAGCGACGCCGAGGAGCTGGTGCCGTCCGAGCCGCAGCCGGGCGTGCTCGACAGGCTGCTCAAGTCCGTCAGGAGGACGGCACGCCGCTGGTGCGAGGGCATCATCAACGGCTTCCTGTGGTCGGCGCAGAGCAAGCCGTACTTCGACTGACGTGGCGGCCGCCGGAATACACGGGCACCCTGCTGGGTGTGCTGGTGGGCTGCTGGGTGTGCTGGTGGGCTGCTGGGTGTGCTGGGGCGCTGCTGGATGTCCTGGGGCGCTGCTGGGTGTGCCGGAGCGCTGCTGGGTGCGCTGAAGTGCTGCTGGGTGTGCTGGTGGGCTGCTGGGTGTGCTGGGGCGCTGCTGGATATCCTGGGGCGCTGCTGGGTGTGCCGGAGCGCTGCTGGGTGCGCTGAAGTGCTGCTGGGTGTGCTGGGGCGCTGCTGGATGTCCTGGGACGCTGCTGGATGTCCTGGGGCGCTGCTGGGTGTGCCGGAGCGCTGCTGGGTGTGCTGGAGTGCTGCTGGGTGTGCTGGGGCGCTGCTGGATGCCCTGGGGCGCTGCTGGGTGTGCTGTTGCGTTGCTGGGTGTGCTGGTGTGCTGCTGGGTGTGCCGGAGCGCTGCTGGGTGTGCTGGAGTGCTGCAGGGTGTTCTGGTGCGCTGCTGGGCGTGCTGGTGTGATGAGACAGGGCTGCCTGTAGTGTCGGAAAAAAACATAACATGCTTGAGAAGATGTGCGGAGGCGTTCAGTGCAGCTATTTCACATGCCTCAAGGAGTGGAGTGGAGAGCTGAGGAGCATTTGAGACTTTCCTCTGACAGGAAAGGAGATGCGTTCTGACTAGAGGTGTTCTCCGGAAGTCAGCGGGGGAGCAGGAGCAGGACATCATGCATCGATGCCTATCGAGATGTCACACATTATACCAAATGCACGCAGATATGTGAAATATAACTTGCCCGATATTGCTGGACGCGTATGAACCACAATCGCGCTATCCACAAATAGCGCGGCAAAATGTCGAGGCTCAGACTAGGTTTGAAACGCACCATGAGGACCGGTGTTCACCGGGTTGCTACCACATCAGGACGGACAACGTTAATATAGGGGGATAAGGCAGGACGCTGACATAGAGGGTAGGTCGACAGGGCATTCCGGCAGAGGGACGGACAACGTTAATATAGGGGGATAAGGCAGGACGCTGACATAGAGAGCAGGTCGACAGGGCATTCCGGCAGAGGGACGGACAACGTTAATATAGGGGGATAAGGCAGGACGCTGACATAGAGAGCAGGTCGACAGGGCATTCCGGCAGAGGGACGGACAACGTTAATATAGGGGGATAAGGCAGGACGCTGACATAGAGAGCAGGTCGACAGGGCGTTCCGGCAGAGGGACGGACAACGTTAATATAGGGGGATAAGGCAGGACGCTGACATAGAGAGCAGGTCGACAGGGCATTCCGGCAGAGGGCACAGACATCTACCATTTCCAAGCTTACGCATCACACAAATGAGCAACCATGCATTCAAATAGACAATAGCACTGGTAGAAAAACTTGTTCCAATTACCCCGATACGACGCAATAACGCACGTGCTTCGTCACCAACGCAAACAAGACGTGGTTAATATATGTATTCCAGAAGCATCATGATGAGGCACGTTGGGTACATGGCGTGCAGTCCATGTCCGATATATCATTTAAATGGAATGACTTCCCGATCTAAACATCCCCGAGAGATCAACAATTTGAACTCAAGCAGTCTTTGGTGCGCACGCACCAAGCATACGAGGTGCCTCGATGAGCTAGGTTAGATACTATGGAAGGCACTGTAATTTATGTATCCGAATACCGGATAGCGCTTCGTCGCTACCGCCGCCGCCCAACCCAAGCTATCGCAATTAAAACGTCCTCGATTATCCGTCACAACCGCATTCCAGCCCCGCCGCGGGAGCAGCCCTCAGGCCCGGGCGTCACTCCAGCGCACCGACCACAACCTGCAGCTGACGCTGACACCGGCGCCGCGCACGCTTTCCATCTCACCACGCCGCCTCCCCTCACACCCGTGCCCGCCCCGGCGCGGCCGGCCTCAGCTGTCGCCCAGCTCGGTCCTGTCCTGGAACTGCTTGGCCACGGCCGCCTCCAGCGCCGCCAGGTACTCGGCCATGGTAGCGGACGGCGTCGAGACGAAGAGCGCGTGCGCCAGGAAGGGTAGCTTGCGCAGCGTGCGGCCGCTAAGGCCGCGGCTCGCCTGCGCAATCTGCCACAGGCGCAGGCTGCTGTGCGTGGCCGCGTTGCCCACGTACTGCGTTAGCTCGAGGTTGTGCAGGCTGAACAGCTTCTCGGCGCTGGAGATGATGCGCGTCCGTACCAGCTCCTCCACGCACGAGCGGTAGATCTTGTAGATGGCGGCCGGCGACGGCAGGTCGATGAATTGCTTGATGTCCGCGCGGTCGACGAACGCCAGGTCGATAGCGCCGGTGATGTTGGACGTGGTCAGGATCAGCACGTTCGGGAAGCGCTTGATCTGGTCGATCTGCGTGAGGAGCGCGTTGACCACGCGGATGGCGTCGCTCGGCTCGGCACTGGAGGACGAGGCGCGCCGTGCCGCCGTCAGCGACTCCACCTCGTCGATGAGCACGCACACGAGCGCCTTCGGGTCGTCGATCAGCTCCTGGATCTTGGTGAACATCTTCTGCACCAGCTTGCCGCTCTCCGAGAACCACTTGGAGAAGAGGCTGTGACTGTTGATCTCGATCAGCTGGCCGTAGGCGTAGCGGTCCGACATGCGAACGGCCAGCTTCTGCGCGAGCGCCTTGCAGAGCGAGGTCTTGCCGGTGCCGGGCGGACCGTGCAGCAGCACGACGCGGTTCCAAGAGATGATGTTGCCGTTGACGCCCTTGTCGGAGAAGAGCAGCGTGGTCGAGACGAAGTTGAGCAGCTGCTGCTTGATGTTTGTCTCGTAGATGAGCGACTCCCACAAACCGTGGAAGTCGCGGCTGGGCAGGATCCACTGCGTGGCGGCTGGCATGTCGCCGCCCTCGTCATCCACCTCCTCCACCTCGGGTCCCGACTCCTCCAGCCGGTGCGGGTGAAAGTGCAGCTGGCACTCGGCCACGGTGTAGCAGCGGTGCTCCTGCGAGCCGACGCGATCCGACACGCTCAGCTCCACGGCGCTGGCGCCCAGCTTCTCGCCCAGGGTCAGGTAGGTCGTGCACGTGGTCACGGTGCGCAGCGACGTCAAAAAGTCGCGCGCGTGCCGGCACACGCGCTGCCGTTCTGTCACGCAGCTGGGCTTTAGCACGATCTCCACGTCGAGCACGGGCTGCGGCGCGGCGGCGGGCGCCGCCAGCGGCTCGGCGTCGCCGCCCACTCGAACCACCGGACCGTCTCCGTTCAGCCGCGGCCCCGCCCGCTGCAAGGCCGCGCCGTCGCCGTTCATCCTGCACGTGCTTCCCTGGGGTTCCTCGGCTGTGTCCATCTTCATCAGCTGTGGGAGGTAGTATGGATATGTATGTTTGCCACAAATTGAAACATGACACTTGTTCCAGCCATACTGAAGACAGGAGAATACAGGTTTAATGGCTGTCAAATGTTATGGAATGGACAACTGCAATATGCATTTTGAAAAGTTTCTTATTCAAGTCAGATCATTAGCATGTTAACTTTATTCCATTTCACATCACTGCCCAAAACCTTTTATGGATGGATGAAATGTGATAAGTGATGACAAATTTCACCCTTTGCATCATGAGAATAATGAAAGTAAAATGTGCCAACACAGGTAGGGAACTGAACAGATGAACGAACAACTGAATGGCATGTTGAAACACTACAGATGATCAATAGTAATGCAAAGACAAAACACACAAAATAAAGACTTCCTTTTGGCAAGGTACTTAGGATGTCATTGATATCACTGCATGCTATATATTTGATACACATTCTTCTTAGGAAAAAGTAGCATTTGCCAACTAACAATCACATAGCTTAGATATGCAGAGATTAAGGCCTTCTTTTCAATTATTTACTGTACGCAACTTTGGAAACCATGGCCATGGGAGTTGAAATGCTGAAAGGCAATACATTAGTGTTGATACCAATCTGATGTTTCAAATTCTGTAAATGCATGAAAATATTGAGTCAAGCTATGCCCACAAATTACAATGGTGCAACATAAATTAGATCCCCAGTGAATATGTACTCTCACAGAAACTCATTCAATAAAAATGCATGACCTAATTTTAAAAAACTACCTGGTGTTCACAACCAACATCACAGACTGAGACAAATGGTGCATGTCATATTATCCAGACGTAAGGCAAACATCAGAATAAATAAGAAGCCATTCATCCACTTCTATGAGTAAATTATGTCATTCCTGCACCAACAGTCCATGAACTGCCGCTTATACCGCCAGTCAGCACGAATTTACACGAAACACTGATCGCATCAGGACTAACTGAAAATTAGTAATGATGTCCACCTCGGCCACCGAGTGAAAAATCCCGAACTGTGTGCTATCTAGCAAAGTTGTAAACAAAATAACACAACGCACTTCACTTGGCATGAGGTAGAAAATATCCGCGATTGCACGCCAAGAAATGCAATCCGACTGAAACGTCCACAGCATACACGTACAATTTACAAAGTTGAAATACCGCCGTCAAACCAAACAAAGCTATCTGTGCGCCAGTACCGCCGCACATTGTAAAGGCTACTGCTACTAAATGCACTGTGTCACGAAATGACCTGAAAAACTCGCCCCTGGGTTTATGTATTAAAATATGCAAGCGAAAAAGGATGAAATAGATGAAATCAAGCAAAGCGCGGGTGAAAGTTTTCGGGAAAATTATCCAATGCATGGTAGTGTCCTCGGTACATCGTTTAGAGCTGTTGCTTTCAGCAGCAGCATTAGTTTGTTGCAGACGATGAAGGTCGGCAGAGCCTATTTAAAGGTGTGTGGTGGTAGGCGTGGTTTTCCTTACTTTCCTTGCGTCGATTTTGATATGGTATGTTCTAATTGTCGCTGAGAGTTGAGTGCAGCTGCTCCACGCCCCCAATTGGTTATGCAGTCACGTGCAAAAGTTCACCGTGTAGTTCGGCAAAAGTAGTTGACAGGTCTAGTGGAGAATGACTAAACCCATCCACTCAGTACAGGAAAAGGGTTCTCCCGAACATAACGTACTTTCTGTCCCAAGCTAATTGCTGGAGCCCCTCGCCCAATAGCAATCCGTGCCCTTTCTATCCTGAGAGTTTAGTTACGAGAGTATGAACTGATGCATTTCCTAATTAGCCGGCGGTGGTTGCAAGAGGACGAGCAGATGGGCATAACGTAACTTCCGCCCTTCCGATCATGCCAAGGCTTGCATTCTGTTCGCGTGTTTGTTAACTCGCGAACTCCGAACGGCTGAACCTCGTTCCATAACACCCGACGTGCAAGACTCATCGCAAACAGCTAGGTCCCCTGACCGCCGGCGAATGACCTGTATCTTACCACACAGCAAGTTATCAACGCGTAAGTTCCTCTGGTCACGCGCGGAATTTCAACAGACTTCGATTCCTGCCAAATATCGACATACACCAGGCCACATCAACCAACTACATACCCATTGCGATCTTAAAGTCGCTGGGAGAATTTGGGTATCTTCCAAACAGGTCGATCAATCAGCCCAGCGGCCACTTGAGCTCCCACCGATCATCAGACCAGTGAGAGCACAGTGCAACGCGGCCATGCGTCATATAAGACATGGAGAGCGAGAAGCGTCGACCGGACTGCTAGAGCGGTACCCACGCATATAGCATGTCACCCCACACGATTACACAGCGTGTGGAACATGCGGCACACGCCAGTAAAACTGCCTGGAATTACCAGTGTGCATAACCCTCTCCTTCTCCCTCTCTGTCATACTATTGCCTCCAGCCTCCGTTTCACGCCACCATAAACAGCTGCTGTCTCCCCCTTGTATTACATAATAACACAGCGATCAGGGCCTATTTCTTGTTGGGCTGGGGCTTGTTGTCCTGGCGCTGGAAGCGCGGGGGCGGCGTGCGGTCCTTGCGGTCGCGGCGGGAGCGGTTCCGCACCACCTTCGAGTGGATGGCGCAGGACACGCAGTAGTGCAGCTTGGCGTACAGCTTGGGCAGCACGTACGCTGAAAACGAAGACACGTTAAGACACCACGCCGCAACAAGACTCACAAAGTAAACAAGTGATGTAAACAAGACTCACAAAGTAAACAAGATTTGGCTGGCATCCACTGATCAATCAACGTCCCTGTTAGTTGCAGTTGCCAAAAACACGTGACAAACAAAAAACAGACAAAAACATACTGATGGCCATAAGTGGAAAGGAGAGACATGTCATATGCCAGACCTAAAAAACTATGACCTAGGACCATGGTTAATATTTCACAGAATCTATCGCCGGAGCACCAAAGGTGCATTAGGTGTTGCGACACCGACAGCAGCGGCCAGAGACGTGGCTACTGCTGCACATATGGCCAGTGCAACATGAATTCGAACTAGGCAAAGCAGGCATAAACCTGGGATCTTACTAAACAAAACAACAAAACAAAGACAGCATCAATCACAGAAAAAACCATTTGACCAAATGCTGACTACCAGAAAATGTGTATCTCCAAATTTTATAGAGGCACACCCTAGCTCTGGCGCGGCAGTCATAACGCCTCATGGTGGATACAGGTCTATGATTGAAGGCTCCTCTCCATAAGCACATCTTCATCAGACCCGACACCACGGTACTCGGGGCATTATTTCCATAAACCAATCTGCCCGGCTAGCCAGCAAACATGCGCACTTCCATATCTGGGACAAAAGAAGGAATTGGGTTGAAATTGGATCCAACCCGCCCCACACTCACTCTGGTAGACGCAAGCCTCGTTGATATCCCTCACGGCGGCGGCCTCTACAATGTTCCGGACGACGAACTTCTTGATGGCCTTGTCCTTAGGGCAGCAACGGGCGCAGTTGGTGCACCGGATGGGCTTGACGTGGCCACGTCCGTGCTTAGAGCGTCCTCCATTGCGCCGCTTGGTCGTCTGCGGATGAGACGGCATTCATCAGAACTCTTTCATGAGGCTTCGCGGTAGCATGAAGGCAGATCGGCACATGGCATTGTTAACAATGTTTGGCATACTTGCCCTCAATAAACATGGAATCCTTTCCCAGAAACAGCAAACGTTTTTCATTGGTCTTAGTTCCCCATGACCCAGTTACTCACACACTCGACAGCATCACAGGCCATTTCTGTGGTGTAGCATGGGAAGAAAGAGCTTAAACCAACCTTGCCAACACTGCACTTCTAAGACATGCCTGTCAGCAAAACCAAGCTACCATTTTGATAGGATGTCAAGTTTTCGTGATTGAACCTAATCTCAGCACCTAGGCATTGCCAGCAGCTCCTGGGGCAAAATCCAGCTTGAAAACAGCACATGGAAATCAAAAGATGACTTATATGACAAGGTGAACAAAGTTTTGCATCTGTGGCTACTATTTGCATGTGCCCGTCGCACTAACCTAAGCAACATCCTATGAGTGTCTCTTTCACCTTTGTCCCTACCAGGCGGGGAAGGGGGAGGGCAGTTCCAGAGGCCTCTACAATATTTTAAAAACTAAACAAGCTAATGCTGCAAAGAGAATGGCATTGGAAAGCTCTAGCCTAACTCCATCAGATGTATGTGTCTGAATGGTGGTGAATGTAACTTTTGCCACATCAAACAACACCAAAGGAGTCAAATCAGCTATTTGCAGACCCCTCTGGTGATGCTGGTTTGGTGCATAAGGGCACATCAGCTCCAGGCCCATTTTGTGTTCACTTAAAAACAATCATCCATGTCTGTAATGTCAGGCCATAAAGGCATTGTCAACTTTCGTTCAGCTGTTTCACTGATGTTCCAGCACTGTGGGTTGAGTAGAAATGTTACCTTAAGAACCCAACATGCTATAACAATATGGAATATGGTATTAAAGAGTTCTTGAGGCTAACAGGTGCTACTGGACATCAACAGATGCACCTTTGACATGTAATGCCAGATCAAAGGTGTGAAAGTGAATGTTGTGGTCAACTGTGTTAAGGTAATTGTTGCATTGTCTTGCACAGCTATATCAATCAAGAATTCAACAAGTCACACAATGGAGAGAACATGGTTACAAAGGCCATCTTAAACTGCCACATGTTTGACATTATACCTATCATCAGATGACTGGTTACAACTGGTCATGAATGCAAACTTTGGGCTAGGTGACCTTGATGACCTGACCACATAACAGCCACCAGAGCAGTAGTGCTACATTTCAGTCATATACATGAGGAGTCTTGAGTACTTCTTGGGAGTTAATTTCCCAAGACAAATCAATCATGGTGATCACTTTTGGGTAAAATGTCACCAACATTATCTAGAGGGGGCACAGATCATAACTGCCAAGGTAAGAAACCTCAAATATTTTTGTGTGTAAAACTGATGTTACCTCAGGTACCCAACATTCAGCACCAAGACAACACCACTGCTAAGTTATTCCAGGAAAAAAACCTTAGGCTTCCTCATAGGGCAGGGGTTCATGACTCCACCCAGCTTCTCTCCAACACACAACACAGCAGCAGAACGTGGTGACTTTGGTCATTGCCAGTTGTTGTGCCCCTGTCAGCTTGTGTGTGCTATGAAATCATGAGCTATCTTCATGAAGGAAATGTTGCCATTCATGAACAAATGAAAGACAAGACCAGCTGAGCCAGGCTGGGCTGGGATGACTGGGCCAGACTGGAGCAGCTAGACCAGGATTGGAAAGCAGGGTCAGTCTGAAAAGGCAAGGTCAGGCTAAAGAGACAGGGTCAGGCTGAGGAAGCAAGGTCAGGCTGGGGAAGCAAGACCAGGCTGGGGATGCAAGACCAGGCTGGGGAAGCAAGGCTGGGCTGGGCTAGGCCGGACCAGGCTGGACCGAGTGGCCGGGCTGGGCCGAAATGCCCGCTTGTCAATCTACATCACTACTTTGAACACCATCAGCCCAATGCTGACTCATCACAGCATCGCAATGTGTAGCAGATTTTGTTTTTGGTTTTCAAAGCGCAGCTTTTCAGTACTGATTGTCGACTGTTTGCTACAGCAGCTGAATATAACATGTCAATATGGTAGAAATATGACATGAAATATGACCTTATACACCAATGGGACAATATGTTCTATTAGGAGTAAGTGGAGAATACAGACAAGAATGTTAAGATTTACCTACCAGCACAATGAATTGCAGGAGACAGAGGGTGGTTGATTAGGGGGTTGGTAAGGGTAAGTTGATCAGGGTTGTTGGGTTATGTTGGCTAATGTCATGGTTTATGAGCAATGCTTTCTGCATTAAAGACAGTTTGAGTACCTTTGTGTACAGCAAGCTGAATCCCTTGTCATGACTGATGTTTTGAGAGAGACATCACAATTCCTTGAAACAATGGTTCTCTGTGCTCTGATATTGCCAATGATCATGGCCCCGACTCTTGAGCACTCAGGCTATTGCCATTAATGTCCGAAATTGTTGTTGTGATGATACCAATTTGCAAAACATGTCTGTCACATGTAGGTTTGTAGTCTGGCTTGTAGAAAGTACCTGGCAACTAATGCCAAGAAGCAGCAGGTTGAACACTGAGGTGTGGTGTGGCAGCACTAAACAACATCAACATCCCTGTTAAAGTGGCCCTTACCACTGGACTTTAATTGTAAGATGTCATTATTATTAATACAGGCTTTTGGAGACCACAACTATGGTGACTGGTGACATTTACACAGCCTGTCAGAATAAAACTGCCTATATTAGATGACTTCAGCATATAATGTAATCACAGCAGAAGCCAGACAACTTCTGTATTTAATGCAATCACAACAATAGCCAGAAAACAGTAGAATTATACAATCTTACTCTTGAGTATTCAGTAATAACATCTCATAATACCAAGAATATTCAGAGCATGTGCGAGCATCAAAATATGGGCCATGTCAACAATCAGGTATTTTTTAATTGTTCACATTACAATTTTAAAAGCATCAAAACTGCATCATCACTCTAGCATGCTATATAAAGTATTACAAACACCATATGAACATTTCCGTGTCCTCACTCACCAACAAAGCTGTTCATGGATTCATGAGTGCCTATGCAGCTGACCATGGGCACTATGTTGTGGGTCTCTTTAAGTCCAGGCAGGCAAATGCACCAGCCCAGCATCCAAAGAGACCCATAACTTCTGTGGCACAGATTGTAGGTCTAACAGACCACACATGGTCAGGTAGACGGATAGACTGTGCTGGGGTTGGAGGCCCAGTTAGGTTTCATATAGAGACAAAGGGTATGATAGGCAAAAATAGTTCAGTTGAAATTAAGATAAGATATCAAGAAATTTGATGAATTATGTTCATGACATCAACTGCTTCTGGAAAATCACCTATAAGGTCCTCTGCCCCAGCTCCATTCCTGCCACATATCCATTGAAATTATTATGCATGGTGCCACCAATACCATACCCTGTTAATGGATGTGTGATGAGTGAAAATTTTATTTTGCCATAGCTAGTGCAAAATATATTGGGGAAGTAATGGGTCAGGGTGTACTTTCCTACCTAACGTTAGAAAAAATCATTGTACACCATTCGTCGTGTTCAAGGCATGACATATCGTAAATCATCTCAAAACAGGTAGAATCATGCTCCTACCTTCGAATTTCAATAACTTCGATGGCGGGCCCCCGAGCGCCGCGCGCACCGCACCGCCTGGACTCCCCAGCGCCGTTTCCACGTTGCCGTTGTGTAAATACAATATTTCTGCGTACCAAGAACTGTACAAAATGTACGGGACCAAAGTAAACCATTCGTCATGTTTAAGGCAGGACAACCATAACCTAAGTGCGAACCATAAGAATATTTACTAAACATAAACCATATTTACCATAACCATATTTACCATATAAACCATATTAACTGCGAACCATACTATAAACCATAACTATAACTATAAACTATACTATATAAACCATACTATAACTATAAACCATATTTACTGCGAACCATAAAAATGTACCGGGACAAGGTAGCAAGAATCCATGAAATTTGATCCTCGACGCCAACGGGACCATGGGTTGCAGGGGGATTGGGTGGGGAATGTAAAGCAAAATGAGAACATGGCAGCTAAATAAAAGCTCACTATATGGCACCTATATATGGCATGGAACATGGATGCCAATGAGATGCTGGGTTGAAGGGGATATAGGGTGGGGAGGTTAGGTTAGGTTAGGTTAGGTTAGGTTAGGTTAGGTTAGGTCAGGTCAGGTCAGGTCAGGTCAGGTCAGGTCAGGTCAGGTCAGGTCAGGTCAGGTTAGGATATGTTCTGGACCATTCTGGACCATTCTGGCCTGCATGTTTCATAAATGTACCTAAACTCGATAAGAAGCAATTTTGGTTGCTTTATTATTGTTACCTTGGTCCCGTACATGTTCTATGGTTCTTGATAAGCAGAAATATTGTGCTTTTCGCAAGGGTAGGAGCATGATTCTATCTGTTTTGAAATTATTTACGATATGTTCCACCTTAAACACGACGAATGGTTTACCTTGGTCCCGTACATTTTGTAGGGTTCTTGGTAAGCAGAAATATTGTATTTACGCAACGGCAACGCAGAAACGGCGCTGGGGAGTCCAGGCGGTGCGGTGCGCACGGCGCTCGGGAGCTCGCCATCGAAGTTATTGAAATTTGAAGGTAGGAGCATGATTCTACCTGTTTTGAGATGATTTACGATATGTGCCGCCTTGAACACGACTAATGGTGTGCAATGATTTTTTCTAACGTTAGGTAGGAAAGTACACCTACACCAAGTAATGTGTTGCATCTGAGTACAATGGTGTGTATATTGAAACCTAGAGTAAGTCCTTGACCTAAATAATTGATCATACCTGGTAAGGTCAATCATGCAAAACGCTACGCACATCTTAAAATCATGAGGCCTTCGCTCCTATTACCATCAGACTTCCTCTACACATCTAACCCAAAATGCAGAGCCAGATATTGAGTACAAAAACGCGAATTAAACCAGTTACGGAGCTACAGAGTATACATTGAGGTGTTCCAAAGTTCCCCATCATTCCCTGGGATCCTGTTTCACAAACAATTGGCATCAAAAGTCAGGATTCAGGCAATGGAGGAACGAAATACGGATCAAAACAAACGGACTACCAGAACTTCAGACCTGACAAGCCTTACAAAAGAAACAAGCGATACAGACTCAGGCCACAGACACACAGCAGTGACCAATGGAATCAATTGAATTCGTAAGGATTATTCTCGTTAACGCACAAGGCAGAATAGCTTAAATAAATGGCAGTATCCTCTAACCCACCATGATTGCCTCGTCTCAGGCTTCGAAGAGAAGTCCAGCACCGCCGTGTACAATAATCAAATATTTTGAAGAACTGAGAGCAGTGTAGTCAAGTCATAAATACCATCTTTTTTCTCCTATTCCATGTCGGTCGTGGAGATTATCTTAGTTTTCGCCAACTATTCTAACTTCTTTACCATCCACAATACCTCTACACAATAAATGAACCCAAGTAACATTTAAGGTGACGTTACGTCCAGATTTGCATGCTTCATGTGCGACAATGGGTCAGTCAGTACTCCTCTGCGGCACCGATGTGGCTTGTCGGATGTACCGGGCAGCTACGCCTTGCAACGTGCCTAACACACTTCTATATGGGGACATCCATGTGACTTAAGGCAGCTGCGTGATGGCCACAGGGACCACGGGAGGACCGGGGTACCATTGTGAGCTATCGCCCGGAATCACCCTTTCCTATTCCAAACAACTTATCTTGGTGTCTATGCCTTAAAGCATATCCGACATTCGTGCTATATAAAGTTCTAGAGGTATACTGGGGCTCATTAACGAAATATGTATCTCTTCGAGGTCATACTAACATAAAGTAGGATTATTACGCTGATATAGGCTACATATGATGTTCAACATAGATAGACACGAGGTTATACGATGAAATATAATGTATCTCTAAGGTGGCTTATACGTGTCCCCATTGCACGGGTTACGATGCTACCAACAGGGTCGAAATTCTGGAACGGAACGGAGCCCAAAAGATCGCTGGCGAATAACTTACACGGCACGAGCTGAGCGTAGCTTTTAGAGCCCCGGTTTTTGTCTCTCGCGAATGTCATGAAATTCTGCCCTGCCACGTAATTTCTCGTTACTTTTCTCCGCTCTCCTTCACAGCGCGACAGCAGCACAGTGACGCCCTCTCGTTTACGGTTTGCCAACTCAGTGACGCCACCTTGTATAGGTTTGGCGCCGGCAGGGCAGTGGCGCCATCTCGTTCCGCACTTCCCATTGTCGTGCGTGAGCCTTGCCTAGCATTGTCCGCCGCCCTACGTGCACCGCTCGAGCAAGGCATGGGCCACGAACGCCCTCGCATTTGACATAAAGGTTTTCGAGTGTCCGGACTGCATGACCCTTGGGTGCTTCTCCCCAACGGAAATGGGCCTGAAGGCGCGATGTTTTCCGCGCCGACCATCGAAGGCATGAACTTGGCTCACAATAGTACCTGATAAGTCCCCTGATATTTCAGTTTGACCCCAGGCTTTAGATCCTGGTGCTACCTCTGCTGTGGTTCCGTAGCATCCACAGCACCCTTTTTCAGGCCTATACAAGGGAAAAGACACCGACGGCGTCGTCTCCCAAACAGGTACATCCAAGCAAAGTGATGTGCTCTCTCTGTGGGTCGGCCAACCCAGAGACTTCTGGTCTGCGACCTATTAACACCAGCACGGGCAGCAATTACTCCCACAGTGTCACCACTTGCAGAGGTGCCAGGCTGTTCAGGACGCAGTCTGTTGAACGGTGATCATGGCCGCACCGTTGGCCAGGGATGGTGGTGAAAGTTTCCCTGACCTGTAGCGTTCGCGGCTTGTCCACCGGGAGTTGCGACTTGTGTAACGTAATCAGGTTAATAAACGTAACGGTGCAAATAGTGGGACAGTATTAACGGCATCGTCCATCGTTTTTCGAGTATACCGTTTGCTACCAACCGTGATTTGTACATTTCGTATGCGCTAACTTTACAAAACACCCTATCGCCACACGGAAACGCAATGGCACGGCCTCCGCTGTCAGCTCGCAGAAGTGTCAGGTAGGGGCGGATGTAACCTGGAGTTGTTGTTGTTGTTTTTTTGAGGGGGGCAACCGTTCGTCGCCAGCTGGATGGTGTGGGATCCGAGGTCCAGTGCATGGTGCCTCTCGCGAGTGCCTAGTAGGGACACCATTCAAAACCGAAAAAACACCGAAATGCTTTTGAATCTTGAACAGAAGTTAAAACAAAACAGTTAAGACATTTAAAGTTGAAACATAGGGAAAGTACACGAAACTTTTATGAAATTCTGAGAATGTTTTGGGGGGGCCAAAACATACTCTCAGAGGTTTGGGGGGCCATGGCCCCGTCACCCCCCCCCCCCCCCCCCCCCCCAGCATCCGCCTATGGTGTCAGCTCACTTACAGACAGGTGTGGCTAGGCACTGCCAGGCCTAGTCATTCTTTTTTATAGATCGGCTGTCTGTTCAAAGCTTTCTTTACATGTGAGCTGTTCTGTCCATTTATGCAAATTTTAGTATGCATAAACGCCAGTTGCAAGAAGAGGCTGGCAGTAACCATAAAGTCAAAAAAAAAAAAAACACACGCGGCGTTTGATTTGTTGTACGCAGCGCGGCAAACGTGGCGCAACAAACATCACGAACTTGTCTCGATTCAACAAACCGCACTGAAGCCGATTAGCTATGCGCAGCGCAGATTGCAAAGCCCCCAACCCAGACGCGAGACAAGCGCGGCACGCTGGCGGCGTGACCTCTAGGTGACCTCCAGCTTGGGCGGTGCCAGGTGACGCACACCGTGGCGGTACCTGGCGATGCAGATCAGATCAGCCACTTGTTGATGCCAGGCTACCAATCCTGCGCACTGCGAAGTGGCTTACTATGTTCGACATTGTGAAGGTACTCAATGTTCGCGATCAGAGCAAGTGTCGCAGGATGGCCAGCGATTACCAGGAAGGTGGCATAGGTACAGGACCAAAAGAAAGTCAGTGTTGGGTGATTTACCCAACTTGTGAGTTGCGAGATGGGATACTCATTGATCCGTAAGGGCCTCAGTGCCTTCTGTAGGCTGCTGACAGAGTTGTTGGGACGAATAGTACGAACTCATGTAGGTGGCTTTTGAAGGTGACATCTGTTCTCGGATGTTAGGAGAGGGCAATCAAAACTGCGAGGGCACTTTTGGCCTCTGTCAAACTTTTGTTACAATTTGTTAGGTTCGTCGATCCGCAAAGAACTCGGATTACAAAAGTAGAAGTCTGGTCCAAAAGTAATGAAAGTCCCTACACATGACGTCGGAGGAGATAGTCAAAGTCAACGAACATACACACTAACAGCGATTTTATCGTAAGGGCGTCACCGACAGCTGGAATTCTTGCTCGCGTTCACTTGTGGCCCGCTCATTCTACGGCGAGATTCCGGTTAGCCACCGGCTGACGAGGGACGGGGAGTCGGCCCAAGCAGCAGTCCTTGGCACATCAACCCTTACACCTGAACAGCCACGAAACGGGGCCGGGAGGGAGCTGCACATGTGCCACCGCCATCTAAATCAGAGCATATGATGAAAGCACCCTTTGTTGCCGCGTGCAGGGGTGCCATGGTTCGCTGGGCGCCAAGACCCACAGAGTCACATCCTCGACCCCGGCAGCTGCAGGCCTCGACCTGCGCTGCAGAACTTCGCACGCGAACCCGCCGTTGCAATGTGGGTCATGCGCAAGCCTCACCCGACAGCAGCCGATGAATGGCATATATTATCAGCCGGTGTCGTGTCGCTGCAACAGGCTGCCTGGCATTTCGTCTGATTGCGCATACCGCCCCGATAAGACCTCCGCCTGAGCGCCGGCATGGCTTCCGGAACCGATAGCGCGAGGGGCGGCCGCGCCTTCGTCCGATTTCTTTCTCCGCTGGGCCGCGGTGCCCATTATTACATCCGGTTGGGCGCGTGTTCCCAGAACAGCGCGCCCGGTTCCGCCTCTATAGAGCGGCACTGTTCCCCGAACCGCCGCCGCCGGCGCCCGGCCGAAGAGGTGCAAGTTCGCGTGCTCGGCGACCCACCCCAACCGGTCGTGGGGTGGTTCTGAGCGCGCTGTGAAGTAAACTGCACCACTCTTGTTGGTTTCTGATGATTACATGCAATAAACTGTGAATGTCTGTGCATCCTCCATCTCATTAAACCAACTGAAACGACTCCGCCCGCTGGTGGGGAGGCAGCACTGCGCCAGGAGACACTTTGTATGACGTCACACAAGAACTACCCAGCATGCAGCGCGATTAGTGACGTCACGGAATGGCATCATGGCCGGCCAATGAGCGGCTGCCCCGATGACGAATCCGACTATTTTTGGTGCGATTACCTCATCGTATAAAGCGCGCCAGCCAGTGGCCGGCTGACTCAGAGAAACGTAGTGGCGCGCGGCAGTTGGGATCGGTCGTCGGCGGGAGAAGGCGTACGTCGTGTCAAAGCGTGCCAGCACCACTTCGTCGGCAGCCGCGGAGGAGAGCAGACCGACTACCAGATCGCTGAGCGCGCTCCCGCGTGCTCACCTGCGACTGACGCGCGTTGTGCGATGGAAACTTCTCTGTACGGGGACCAGGACTACACCGCAGTGTACCGCCTCCCGCAGATGGACAGCGTGCAGCAGATGAAGAAGCGCATGACGCTGGACCTGGACGTGCGGCCAGGCAAGCGGCAGCGCACTGACCAGCTGCTCACCTCGCCGGACATCAACATGCTGAAGCTGGCGTCGCCCGAGCTGGAGCGCTTCATCACGCAGCACGGCCTGGCGACGACGCCGACGCCCGGTCCACAGGCCATCAGCGCCGTCTTCGGCCGCACCGTGACCGAGGAGCAGGAGAACTACGCGCGCGGCTTCGTCGACGCGCTGCACCACCTGAAGCAGCAGGAGCAGGAGGGCGGTGGCCTGTACGCGGCGGACGCGTTCGGCGGCGACCCGTCACCCGTGTACACGACGCTCGAGTCGAGCGGCGCCGGCCCGATGCCCGTGGCGAGCACGGCCGTGGCCTCGCTGCCCGGCCAGCAGTACTACGGCCTGCCCGGCGGCCAGTTCGAGCCGGTGCACATCAAGGAGGAGCCTCAGACGGTGCCTTCCGTGTCGTCGCACGCCTCCAGCCCGCAGCCGCCCAGCCCGGTCGACATGGCCGAGCAGGAGCGTATCAAAGCTCGAGCGCAAGCGGCTGCGCAACCGGATAGCGGCCACCAAGTGCCGCAAACGCAAGCTCGAGCGCATCGCACGGCTGGAGGACCGCGTGCGGCAGATCAAGAGCGAGAACAGCGAGTTGGCGGCAGTGGCCGGCCGCCTGCGCGAGCAGGTGATGGCGCTGAAGAAGGAGGTGCAGCAGCACTCGCAGAACGGCTGCCAGATCCTGCCGCCGCGCTGACGGCCGGGCTGCCAGATGGCTGACGGCTGCACTGGCGGCGCTCCGCCGCGCGTGATAGGCAACAAGTGCTTTGCCATGCTGTGATTGGTCGTACCATCATGCTCCGACGTGCCTCCTTGGAAGGTCGAAGAGTCGGAACGCTAGTCATATAGGCGCGTCGCATATAATCATCATTCCATGCTTGTGCGCGCGCCAGCCGCCTTGCGCGGCACGGCGGCCTGACGCGGCGAGAGGCGGGGCGGCGTCGGCTTCATCCGCCGGCGCCGACGGAGCCCGCCGTGCCTCCACCGCCGCTCGCCGCGCGCCGCGACGGACGCCGCGCTGACACCGGCTCACGTATGGGCGACTGGACGGCCGCCGGCCGGCGCCGAGCCCGGCCCCGGCGGCGCCGCGGCGCCAGCTTGCTAACATGATCACCGAATGGGCGGCAATGTACAACGCAACGATGCCTTAGCGATCGTACGTTTCGTGGAGCGGGGGCGCGCCGACGACTTGTGCCGGCGCGTCCGCCCCGGCGGGATGTCGGGCCGGGCGGGCCGGGTTTAAGTGTTTGCGCCAGGTTTTGTTTTGTTTCATTTAGTCTTGACGTTGATGAGCCCTGCGGGCTGCGGATGCTTCCATGGTTTTGTATGACTTTTGATGGACAGAGTGCGTTATATACACATGGAACTGAGTGATGTCTTTGACAGCGACGAGGAACACCGGGAATGTTGTTCTGCGGGTTTATTAAAGTCGTTCTGGTAGGCAACATGCAGCGCGAAAGGGCGAAGACCTTGTCCCCACGAGGCCCCTCTGATGGAGTCTTTGCATGGCCCAATGCCTGCTTAGCTCGGCTGCCGGGCCACATTTGACACGGCATGGCATGGACTGGCTGATGCAATGCTTTCTTTGTTCTGCCCGGTTGTTGGGTTCCACTTGCATCGCAGCAGCAGTGAGATCGCAGCTGCGAAGTGCTAATGTGCACGTGCATTAATAAAGCCTTCCCCACATGTAACATGACAGTTGGCGGTAAAGGCACGAAAGAACGGAGGAGACAAAGAAAAAAGGAGGGAGCATAAGAAGGCATTAATTTTTTAGACTGGTGTCACAACATTGAGGAAATTTTATTTTTGACGCCTGTAGATGCATATAAATACAGCGAGTTGGCAGGATTTATAGCCAAACACGAGGTTCGACCAAACTGCACAACTGAACGAAATGATGGAGAGGGAACGGGGGCATAACTAGGTGTAGCTGTGAATTGGTGTCCTATCCACCTATTAAGGTAAACCAGCTCACCGTAAGACACTAGATTGGGTTCAGATGCAGGCATGGGTGAGATTTATTCGACAACACGAGGGGACCGTTGTAAATTGTCCGCATCTACAATAATATATATATATATATATATATATATATATATATATATTATATATATGGTTTGGCAATGACGTATCCAACGCCTCGGGCTTTCGTATCTGAATGTCCTTGTTGCATTCGACATTGCGTGCCGCAGTGCAAAGGAACTTTGATATAATGCTATCGAGACCACTCACATGCACAGAGCGTAGTTACCTTTGGTTTCATGTGCCAGATCTGAGCTGAGGTCTGCACTAGCAGCAGCAGTGATGAGATACAGACGAGGTGCAGTCACTTCTACGATGAGCGGTCTGCATATGACATATACGTGTTCTCTCCTTACCGTACTGCGGTAAGGAGAGGATACGCATATACCGTGCCGTAACACGAAAGAGAACACGTATATACCGTACCGTAACATGACAATTTTTACAGGCTAGAAAATCGGCCATGGTTCTCACACTGCTGTCCCCACCCATAAGTTCTTGGTCCGGGCCTGCCAAGTGAGCGTGACAAGCCGTAACATGAAGATGTCACCTCCCACGTCCGGTGTCATGACGCCGGGCTTGCGTCCTCCTCAAGACAGCGTGGCGCCACCGCCCGCGGTGAGTAGCTGGTTGAGAACGACGCTGAAGTCAGCACCAGGGCCTTGATACCACGGCAAGACAACGCGCGGTTCCGCGGCGCATTCAGAACCGGCATAATGGCAGGAAAGCTACAATTCTGGTTACCTCAGCGTTATCAATCACCGACGAACGGCTCGTTGCTGTCAGGGAGAGCCAGCTGGAATCCTTGATCCTCGTCGCTAGTATCCGCACTGCCAGGAGGCGGTGGACGTTCATCGCCAGCATCCTTGGCCCGTGGACAGGGGGTCCAGGAAGCGGAGCATCTGAGTCTCCGCCCAGCGCGGCCAAACAAAATACCCGCGTCCGCACACCCGGTTGGAAACGACGCTAAAAGTGTGCGTATCCGAGTGCAGCTGGGCGGTCTCACCTCAGTGGTCGTGACGAGTGTTCGCGAGTCTTTTTGGAGGCTTATAAGTTGGGCATGTTGGTATACAGGAGTGCTTTAAACTCGAGTGCTTACAGCTTGCTGTGTGTCCAGTGTTGTTCAAGTCGGCTCTATGCCGCCGGTTATTTCACATTTGGAGAGCGTAGATGACTGAGCTCTGTTACTATAAACTTGCTGTGTGCCCTTTATGCACAGAACCACATTGAGGTATGCCTCAAGGCTTAGTAAATTGAGATATACTTAATTGAGGTGTGCCTCCATTTGGCTCTATGTCATCGATTATTGAAATTTGCAGGCCTAAACTAAATGGAAACGGAGAAAACAGAGCCTGAAAACAGAGCAAAGCGTGGCATGATTATGATAACCACCATTCCTCGTCGCCCTACTGTTTTGCATTCACTTCGGTAAGGATGTTGCAAACGAAACGAAAACAAAGAAATGAGGGTGGCGTGATTGAAAAAAAAAATAGATGCCTCATCCATGGGAAAAAGATAGTGACGAAGGCATGGTATCAGCTGCGCTTTGCGTCATACATGCCAATACTAATGACAGAAGCATATAGGCACGAACCACGGCGCGAAAAAGTTCGCGAAAAACTGAGAGGCAGAAGGCCAGACGACGGCGGTGATCCAGGCGTTACCAGCGCCGACGGCGGCGCGGTCACTCAGGCGGGGACCCCACCTCCCCTCCCTCCCCCCCCCCCCTCCTCCAGACCGGGCAGGCGGGCAAGTATCTCCAGCAGGGGGGGGGGGGGGGGCGATGATCTGGCGATGTGCCTCTGTTGTGACGGCTGCCAGAGCCGGACCGGACGTCTGCCGACCGCGGGCCCGGCCGAGGGATACGCACGGCCGCGGGCGGTGACCTCAGCGACAGAGGGGGGGGGGGGGCGGGGGCGGCCTGCGGCGTCACGCGGCGCAGACGGCGGGTCTGAGGACCGGTGACGAGATGGTGGTCAGAGCACCGGTCATATCCGCGTGGATGACACATTTCGCAGGGGAGATAAGCGATTCGCGAAGTTTGGGGAAAGTCAGGTCAGAGGCATCAATTAAACGTGATAGATGCTGAGGGGTGAAATGCACTACGACGCAAAATTATCGTCCGTGATTTAATGTGTAGCTCCGCTGTCACGAGGCCAAAACAAACTGCAGGCTAGTTGAAAACAGCAATCGAAAGGTGTCACACACAGCTCACTGTACAGGCATAAGTCTTCAGACGTGTTCCTCACGTTGACTACTGTGACGTCACAGGGTTGCAACATGACGAAACTGACCAATATCTTGCAGCGCTCGTGCTCAGGACCGGGCCCGCTGCCGGGTGACAGCAGGACAGCGGGTCTGCTGACCCAGGAAGCCCAGGGCCCCCGCTCCTTCCACCGTGTACAAAACAGACGGCCTCCAGCGGCGGACTTCGTCGTTCGGCCGTAAACCCCCGCACGCACGGGCGAGGGTTTACCACAACTACCCCGTTGTGGTGGGCTTAGGGACCCACCCCAACGCTTGACGAAAACCTACCATCTCGCCTACGGCGATGCACGCCGAGAAGCGATCCGGAATCCACACCCCACCCCCTCCCGAGCCCCCTAGAGCCGGCTACGTTCGCTCGGTCATGTGCGCACGTGTCTGCAGCGGCCGGGCAGTCGGCGCCGCGCCGCCCCGCGCCCGCCGCTCCGTGGCGTGGCGGCCGATCTCGCGTGTCCCCCGCCCTGCCGGCGAGGGGGCCGCTGCAGCCGGTGGCCTGTTCCGCTGGCAGGCCTGACCCTGGCACGGTTTCTGCAGCCGGCGGGACGGCGGGCGGCGCGATAGGTCCCGCCCGGCAGCGGCGCTGCTGCGGCGGGCCCGGTCGTGCCCATCCGGACGGATTCGGGGCCCTCTTTGTTGCCACGTGGCGAGGGCTTCGGCGCCGACAGTGGCGGCTGTGGAGTTCCTTTGTGCCTGCACTTGATGGGCACGCTCGAGGGTGCGGAGTCCACATGTGTTTGCACGTGACTGGGAGCTTCGGACCGCGGTACAAGTGGGGACGAAGTTACTCTTTGTCCGCTGCTGGCTTGCGCCGTTTCCGACGCGCACCCTCGTCCGCCTCGTGCCAAGGGGTGCACGCACGTAGGAGCCCCTGGGGACACGTGCGCTCCCCTCACCAAATGCATAGAGTGCATCAATAGGTAGGTGATTGCTGACATTCATCGATAGCAGACCCTCTGTGACACTGCGTCTTGATCAACATTGTGCCGCACACTTGACGTTAGTCTCGAACTGGAATGAGATACGAAAAAAAACTAGCCACAAAACTCCCTTTGTTTAGGCAGATTATGCCCCTTCAGATGAGTTTAAAATTAAGATATCATGGTGGACAACAAAGCATAATACAAGGTCTAAAAAAAGGGTTTAAATTGGTTTATATCGAGACGTTCCAACAGATTGGTCCCCTAACCATTGCAACCATTTCACACTGTCTGAACAACAGGAATCTCGATGGGAGTGAACAGATGGCAATTCGAGAACGTGTTATATATATATATAACAAATATTTGGACAAATAAGATCAAACGGCACAAAATATGTGACGTGGAGTGGGTGCATTTGGTGAAATTTTTTAGGCTTATTCATTGCATTTCATTTCAGCTTGAGGCCGAAGTCAGGAGTCTGCCTGCGGTATGACAATTCATGCTGTCAGTTAAAGCATCCAGGCTCACACATAAAAACACGAAATTCGAGAGCATGATATGTTATTTCAAAACACCCAATTCGAGAGCATGCGATGTTGTTTTACAGCACCCAGGAAAATGCGTGCGCATGCGGCATGCTAAACTCGGTTTTTAGCAAATTTTTAATTGTGCCTCAACGACCCCCCCCCCCCCCCACCCGCTGTGAAACGCCCATTGTAGCTTCTCTGTGCGTCCGGCCACAGGAATGTTCGTTGGAATTTGAGGCCATCGTAAAACACTTCAGTAGCTGAAGGAACCGTTGGCTTCGCGCACACATAGCGGCGACTCGCCCTCGGACAAGAACAGCGCAGTGAGGGCGCCGCTGGCGAAGAGGCGCCAAGCCCGCCGCAACAGCAGCTGACGCGCCGGTGAATCCGGAGGGTCGCCGGGGTATCTCCCCGTCCTTGCGGTGAAGCAGGCCACCAGCCGCACGCTGGTCATGCCAGCCATTCCGCTGGTCATCATGACGGCCACTTCAGGCGGCCGGGGCACTGGCCACCCTCGCCATCGGTGGACGACTCGCGCCGTGTCACATTATGCAAGGTGGTCTCCTCTGGAACCGGCCACGTGGGGGGTATGGCTGCCAGCGCCAGTGACACGCTTCCACGCCGAGCGAGGCGATCA